TGCAGGTACACATCGGTGCACATATGATAGTGATGCACAGTGCACATAATGAGAGGAAGTGGGAAACTATAGTAAAAATTTTACTAGAAAATTAAGGTACAAGAAAAAAAATAACACTCAGTCTGCACAGTCTGCAGTCTGCATGGTCTGCGTTTCAACATGACCGTCCAGAGCTGTTCTCTTGTCCCTTCCAAGAAAGTTTCCTTAGGTACAGTTGTATTCCGGATTCCGAATTTCACTATTCCAGATTCCCACTGTATACATAGCTCACTAACAAATCCTCGACTTGCATTCAATTTCGAGATCAATTCCTTACAATACATGCTAAAAGAAGTTAAAGATCTTACCCTAATTGTCTTGAAACCGTCAATTAAGAACTGGCGCTCCTTTTCCTCTTTCTAGACGCTTCTTCGGTCGAAAACTTTTCACACAGCTCGTCTACAGCTTAACGGTAAGTCTGTTGACGTCCTCTTCTTTCTCCGTTCTCTCGGCCACTTACGCCCTCAAAACCTTGCTTCCCTTAATCGTGGCTTGTAATAACAAGAAGTAAAGGTCCGAAAGAGAGATTTCTTGGCCAAGATCGACCGCGGACATGGCAGCAAAACAACAAAAACTCGAAATTCCCGCCGCCTTCTTCGAAATGTGACAAAATATTTTCTCACACGAGAGAAACGTGGACTTTGACGTCATGTGATCTTTTGTGTCACTCATGATGTCGAGGCTACAAGCCCGGTTACTAGGGAAACAGAAATGGTCGGTGCCATTGCGTAAATAAGAGAAGCCTCTGAATGCATTTTGCATGCCTTGAGTTTGTTTAAAAAACAACGACGATTACGACAGACCTCTAATAAGTCTTATCGTATTCAGAATCTGCTGAACTGAGATTACTGAGAAGTCAATTTCCGTTGTAATATTCACAGACACCGGTTTCTTGCCAAAGTTGTTGCTGGTAAGAATCTAAGATATTCAAAATAAAGCTGAGGGAATTCTTGGCAGGAAATGTTTGGACCCAAATAAAACACGGCGGTCAACGGCCTGTTTACACGTTGCTGATAACGATGGTAAAATGAGTTGCAAAACGCACTATTGAATCGCGTTTGCCAGCTGGTGCTAGAAAACGTGAAATGAACGGCATGTTTTCCTGGTGTTACCGCCGGTGAATGTTGAGATTTCCCGGGAGTTTTCCTTGTGTTACCCGAAGTCGGAAAAGGATTTAGGAACGTGATATTTTCACGACATTAACCGTTTGGTAAAATTTCCGGCTAACGAGAGAAAACGAGCTGTTCAACCCCGTTTTCCACGTGCTGGATAATGTGACATGAACAGCATATTTTCCCTCTGTTAAGTGATGGTGAATGCCAAGTTGTCCTTGTCTTTTCCGAAGAGGGAAAACGAGTCACGAACGCGATATTTTCCTTACATTAACCGTTTGGTAAAATGTCCGGTTAACGAGAGAAAGCGCACTGTTCAACCACGTTTTCCGTGTGCTGGAAAACGTGAAGTAAACAGCATATTTTCCTGGTGTTAACGGATTGTGAACGCCGAGTTTTCCTTGCGAATTCCGAAATGAGAAAACAGATCGTGAACGTGGCATTTTCCATACATTAACCGTTTGGTAAAATCACCAGAAAACGGGAGATTTTGTGCCGTGTGAGTTTTAACTTGCTTTAAACGATCAAATCATTAGTTAACACTTTACATAATAAAATAGTTATGAAATATATACCTGTAAGTCGTAAGAGTAAAAGCCCATATTCTCAGTGAGCAACTCCATAATTAAAAAAGAATAAAATAGCAATGATCATGATAATAAACTATTTAATAAGTAAAGCTCAGAACTGACTCACCTGCCGCAAGACCTTCAGTGTACCAAAACTGAGCAAAATACAGAGCTGTTATAAAAACAAAAACTGAAAAATTGCTTGAAGAGAACATTGCAACAGCGTCAGCGAGATCGAAGCTTCAAAGCTGTAGGATAGCAGTTAAATTAATGGTTCTACCTCGCATTTGCATACAATCGGAGGTCACGTGAGATAGCAAGTATGCGATATCCGAGCTCAGTGCAAGTTTGGTGTCCGAGCGAGTCAGTTGTGTAACTTATAGAGAGAGGTTCTTTAAGGATTTTTACTGCGTTTCCGACGTTATTCTGACCGACCGTTCCTGATGTCGCAGATAGGCGAACACGAGGCGCTCAACGACGACCCGCTATCGGATGAAGTTCTGGACGAAGGAGAATTACTCAAAGACTCTGGAGAAGATAAAAATATGGCGGCCGAGCCTAGCACAAGCGGCGCGAACGTTTCGCTGTCCGCTGCCGACTTTAAGAGTCTTTCCCTGGCAATATTAAATGTGTCAAAAAGACTCGATAAATTGGAGGAAAAGCCTTCTACGACGGGTAAAGGCCCTGGCAAACGACCGAGCCAGGAACATCAAAATGCCGTTCCCGCCAAAAAGCCCGCCAAAGAATGCTCGAGCTCCTCGAGCGAGCAAAATACCTCGGATAACGAGGATGTTCAAACACTCATGGCTAAAGTTGCCGGCGATGTTGACGATCTCGGTAACGGGGACGAAGATGAAACGCTTACAGAACTACAGAAAAGAGTACGAGTCTGAAGACTCTATCGGGAAGAACATTCAAAACCCACAATTTGCCAAGCTCCTTGGCAAGATGTTTCGCAATCGTTTGCCAGACAAAGTCCTTAAAGAGAAGCTCGAGCGACAAGCTCGACCGGAAAACTGTGAAACTGTAAAACCCACACGTGTCAACCCGGGTATTTGGCGAAAACTTCGTGAGCACACGCAAAAGAGGGACTTACAACTGTACAAGATGCAGCAAGCCCTCGTTAAGGGTATAATCCCGGTCGCCCGGTTGACAGACCTGACCATGTCAGAAAAGCATGGGTTAGACAAAGAGGGCATGCAGCTGATCAAGCAATTTGGGCTTGATGCCCTGTCACTACTAACGCATGTAAACTATGAACTAAACATGCAGAGAAAACAGCTCATGAAACCTGACATTGGCAAAGACTACGCCGCCCTTTGCTCACCTCATGTACCATTCACAGACCTGCTTTTTGGTGACGACCTCCAAAAGCAGTTGAAGGACATAGGTGATGTAAACAAGATTGGTGCAAAGGTACAAAACCATAGAGGATCTCAGAGGAATCCTTCTGGTTACAACAGCAGCAATACAAACAGACACACTTTTTCTCAACGGAATCCAAAAAACTCCAAAGGCCAAACATTCAGACCTTGGCGTCACAAGGAGACTCCAAAGATGAACCCAAACAAGAGGTCATCACAGTAGCTCCTGGTCTTAACACGGTAAATTCTGCTGTACAAAATTTTGTTGCTGGTAACGTAGCTCATCACTTTTCTGAGTGGAGGTCTATTACCTCAGACCCAAGCATCCTTGAGATTGTATCGGGCTATCTTATCGATTTTGAACGGTTACCATACCAAACATATGTGCCCTATATAAAATTTTCTAAAGGTGATGAACACATTATTGCAGTAGAGGTTCAAAAACTTCTTGATAAAGGTGTTTTGAGCAAGACAACACACTGCAATGGAGAATTCATCTCTTCGGTCTTTACAAGACCAAAGAAAGATGGGTCTCATAGACTCATCCTGAACCTCAAAAATCTTAATGAGTTTGTTACTTACCAGCATTTTAAAATGGAATCCCTCCAATCAGCTGCCCAACTACTTAAAAAGGACTATTGGATGGCAGTTCTAGAACTCAAGGATGCTTATTACTCTGTACCGATAAATCTCCAGCACAGAAAATACCTAAGGTTTGAATTTAACGGAACCCTTTACGAGTTTACTTGCTTGCCAAATGGCCTGGCCTCGGCCCCTAGGGTCTTCACCAAGCTTATGAAACCAGTCTATGCAACACTGAGATCCAAAGGATACCTAATAGTGGGTTACATAGACGACATATTACTAATGGCAGAAACACCAGAGCAGCTATCGCAAGTAGTTGCTGACACGGTTGCCCTACTCAGGGCACTTGGCTTCACAGTCCATGATACTAAATCTGTCACGACACCCTCTCAGATAGCCAAATTTTTGGGATTCATATTGAATTCTAAGAATATGACCATCTCCATGATCCCGGAGAAGGCTGATATTGTACGATCTAAGTGTCACAGCCTTGTGCAGATACAAGGTCCTGCCCAAATCCGAGAGGTGGCCTCAGTTGTGGGGTTGATGGTATCCTCATTTGCAGGAGTGTACTATGGGCCATTATTTTATAGATCTCTAGAGAATATCAAAACTGATGCACTGCAAGCAAATGGCTGGGATCTTGAGGGGAAAGTAACACTCTCACCCCTGTGCGAACAAGACCTCCTTTGGTGGATAAATAATGTTGACCAATATCCACAAACCATCACACCACAAATCCCACATCTAACCCTGACAACCGACAGCTCACTTACGGGCTGGGGGGCAGTGATAGAGGGTACCTCAAGTGTTGCAAGTGGTAGATGGTCATTCCAGGAATCCCAACTTCATATTAATTTCCTAGAGTTAAAAGCCATCCTTCTGGGACTGCAGTCACTCTGCAGTCACCTTACAAATTGTACCATCAAAGTGCTTTGTGACAATACAACTGCAGTCTCGTACATCCACAGTATGGGTGGCTCTAAATCTAGGAACTGCAATGATATAACTAGGGAAATTCTCATCTGGTGCATGCAGAGGCAGCTGGCACTATCAATCTCCCACATACCAGGGAAATTAAATACAGAAGCTGATAGAGCTAGCAGAGAATCACACAACAGTAATACAGAATGGTCCCTAGACCCTACCATTTTTGATGAACTTAAACTTAAATGGGGCGATCCTGAAATAGACATGTTTGCATCAAGGCTGAACCACAAAGTGTCTCCATATGTAGCCTGGAAACCAGATCCAGGTGCAGCAGCTATTGATGCATTCACTCTGGATTGGTCCAGATATAAACTTATCTATTGTTTTCCTCCTTTCAGCCTCATAGGCAAAGTCCTTCAGTTTATCCAAGAAAGCAGAACAACAGCCATACTTGTGTACCCATACTGGCCAACCCAGGTGTGGTACCCACAGCTCCTACAGTTGATGAAATCTCCTCCAATATCAATCAAAATGCACCGCAAAACCATTATTCTCCCACATCAACCAGAACAAGTCCACCCATTATATCCCAAACTTCAACTTCATGGATGTCTCTTATCAGGGCATCCTTAGCTGCTCAAGGCATAACGGGGGAACCTCAGGACATCATCGTGGCGTCATGGCGAGATGGAACCCGCAAACAATACTGCACATATATTACAGCCTGGTTAAAGTACTGCTCTGATTGTAACATCAGCCAAGTCAATCCCAAGCTGCAGCAAGTCCTTGATTTCCTTACTCTGCAATCTAAACGTGTGGGATATAGTGCAGTTGCAACTGCCCGAAGTGCACTGTCAAGTTTCATTAAAGTTGATGGTGTAAAAGTGGGTGACCACCCCTTGGTGTCAAGGTTTATGACTGGCCTGTTTAATCAAAAGCCAGCCCCTCCACGCTACTCTGAGACCTGGGACCCCCAAATAGTGCTTAACCACCTTAAGACATTTCCAGCTATTGATGATATGTCACTGAAACAGCTTACCCTGAAACTGGTCATGCTTATGGCCCTATTGTCTGCACAGAGAGTTCAGACTTTACAGTCCTTGTCCTTGGAAGAAATGAGTACCCTACCTGGAAAGTATGTCTTTCGCATCTCTTCTGTTTTAAAACAAACAACTGCCAAAGGGGGCCAGAACAGACATTTACTACCTGTTACTTTTCATAGTTACCCCCTGGACAAACGACTGTGTATCGTGGAGCTACTTTCAGCTTATGTTAAAAGAACCGCTACTCTCAGGAAAGAGACAAAGCAGTTGCTTATTTGCCATGCTGAGCCTCATGGACCAGCTTCCAGGGACACAATATCACGTTGGATAAAACAAACCATGAAGGATGCGGGAATTGATACTACGGTTTTCAAACCCCACAGCACTAGGGGTGCCTCTACTTCAGCAGCTAAAGCATTGAATGTTCCTGTTCAGGTTATAATGAACACTGCTGGATGGCGTTCTGATTCTACTTTTGCCAAATTCTATGATCGCCCTGTCCTCACTGCAAACAACTTTGCTGCAGCAATTCTGGGAGATAAGAAATAATATATTGTAATCTCAAATAACTCCCTTCTTTGAGCCAGTGCATATTCAAACACTGCCTTATATCGATATCAGTTGTTGTTGCAGTATTTACTACTATCATGTAAGAGGCCTATTACAAATACACATTATGTTGTGCTCATTCACCACTTTTTGTTGTCTGAGTTTTCTGTGGCTTTGAGCTTTAAAGTCTCACGTGACCTCCGATTGTATGCAAATGCGAGGTAGAATTGTTAATTAAACGAGACTTACCTGTAAGTCGTGGTTTGATTGAGATTCTACCGTAGCATTTGCAGGAATGAGGAGGTCACATCCCGCCCTACCCCATCCCTATTGTTGGTGACCTCTCATTCCTGCTTTGTCAAAGCCCCACAAAACCGCTTTTAAGACTGAGCTCGGATATCGCATACTTGCTATCTCGGCACGTGACCTCCTCATTCCTGCAAATGCTACGGTAGAATCTCAATCAAACCACGACTTACAGGTAAGTCTCGTTTAATTAACAATTTTGCAACAACACTAGACGTGCTTGGGTACCGCCCATAGCAACCTCTTACCCCAAGCGTCTGTTTGGCGTACATCCGACCGTTTTCCGAGAAACGCCTGATGACCACGTGACCCCGCATGATATTTAATTCCTACAAACCTTCCGCAAAGGTGTACTACTGTACATTTTACCGAGAAATCGGTTTGCTTGGACATCGAAATTTCGCCGGCTTTGCTAATTCAACAAAGAAGTTAATGGATTCTGCGCTCAATTACAAGGCAATTACAGGTATTGACGTACGTAATCATGAGGAATCTTCAGTTTCTATCTTATTTCACGCAAACATATATTCAGTGTGATTTTCAAATGGCATTTGGCCTGGTCTAGGTCGATTTATACCTTGCCGTTCTTTGAGGTTTTAAGAAAGATCACCCGAATAAATCGTAGCGAGTTACTTTGGGGTAGACGGATCAAGCCTACAGCTTATTTAACGTTTTGTCAATAGTTTTAAACAACTATATTATATTTTCGGGCTTCTTCAGTAATTGGCGTCTTTTTGCCACAAGTGCAAAGTACACCGAGACTTATATTCTTCCATTTTATCATCTTCTTTTTATGGGTACATGTTATGTTTCTAGGCAAAACAGCGCAAAATTGTGTACTTTCTGTAGTTTACCCTATTTCCGTACCAAGCTTCGAAAGCCTTCTGAGACGTACAAGTTTCGAGTTGCATGTAGTTAGGGACCTTCGATCTATTTACTTTTCTCCCGCTTAACGTCAACTGGACGTTTAGGGGAAGACAGGGGGGAGAGGGGGGAAGGCAGTGGACGTAATTGCGGGGCATTTTTGGACAAAAGCAAATTGATGCCGACTTTAATAAATGGCGGCCATATACCAGCGATTCTAGCTTTGAACTCTGAATATAGCATAGAGTAGTAGCAAATGAAAAGCATCGACAGGAAAAAGCAGTTATCCAGATTTTTCAAGAGAACAGGTAGGAGAAAGCATAATTCGAAGTATGAAGTTTCGACCACGTTTTAAAAGCAGTAAATTGTGTTCATACGGTTGACATCTTTACGTAAGTGCATGTCACTATTCCTTCAGGAATGTAGTGACTTTTGAGGTAGCAAAATTTCACGTGGAGGGGGAAGTCTGACCTAAACGTCCAGTTAACGTTGAGCGGGGAAAAAGTGAATATGTAGATAACCATAATATGGTTATCTGTCATTGTTTTAGTCGGATATAACAGTCTGTCATGCATGATAAAATCGAGTTCTTCAGGAAAATATAAACACTGTTGACTCAAGAGAGCGTGCCGGATAATTTTTGGTCAAATAGCAGCAAATGCCAAGTTGAGCTTTATTCAGGTCCTAAAGTGAACGAAAGAAAAGAAGGAAGAAAGAAACAAAACAATATATTTAGTGGCAGAAGAAAACCGGCCGGTATTTCCGCCTGTAAACATTTCATATCACAGTACACTTTTCCGAGAAAAAGTGAATGGAGCTTTTGTCATAACTTGACCCTGGATTTCTCGGAATAGCTTCCTGTTTACCAAGAACTCGACGTTCTGTCGTAATCTGTAATAGCTTTCATAAATTCTAATAATTTATTACTTAATTTGTAATACCTATCGCAATTTGGAAGAACTTTGTCGTAATTAGTAATAAAAAAGCTGTCGTAATTTGTAATAAGCAAAGCTGACGCAATTTATAATAACTTTATCGTGAATTGTAATAATAAGCATTCTTTATATACTTTTCAAACAAAAGGCTTGATTTTCGAGTGGTCTTCCATCTTCAAGGCGACAGTACAAGTTTCATGAACGTTGATCTGAAAAGACACAATGATTGCAGGTCTTTAATTTTCTTAGGAACAGAGGTGTCAACGTTAGGAATGACTTTTTGCATGAAAAACGAGGTTAATCTGAGCGAGTGATCTCAAACTCCTGCAAAGAGTTTCAAATTTTAGTGCAAGTGTGCAAAAACCGGATCAGTCATTTGGACCGACTTTCAAGTTCTTAAGTGTGCCCTCCTGTGGTATAAAACAGGTGGCAAAAATAGCTTCCACTCTCATTTAATGAATATGTCAGAATACTTTAAGCTTCCTGACTTTAACTGGCTGATTTATTAGATATAGCTATGGTAAAAAGCTGTGTAAGTTCAATGAAACAGGAATATATCTCATATTGACAAAACACCCTTCAACATTCTCAAAAACTTGAATTTTATAGATCTTTTAAAACCGATCATACCTCCTCTAGTTACTTAGCTGAACAAGAGGAACAGCTGGGAGAAGGGCTTTAGTAAATCTACGAATAAGCAATCACAAACTAATGATGGAAATATGCAGATACAATCAAACTATGAAGGATAATAGGCATTGTCCTTTTTGTGGATGCAATATAATAGCAGACGAAGTTCACTTTCTTTTCCTTTTTTTTATGTCCAACACACTTTATGATTAGGAATAAATTTTACTGTAAAGTCAAGAGTCTGATTCCAAATATTTCCCAGTTACCTATAAACGGTTTGATCAACGAACTGATGATAATTACTTTATCAATATACAATTCATAAAATATAGTTCAGCTTGTTTTGATGTTCGTGACAAATTATTATCAAAGCAAAGTAATTGCCCTGTGTCAGTGTAATTTTGATTCCTAAAAATAGCTGCAATACTGTATGTGCTTGTATGGTCATGCAAATAAAGCTCGTTGTTGTTAAATTTATACGCCAAAGTTAATGATAATAGTTATGGTAATAATAATGATGATAATATAGGAATAAATAAATCCCCCAATTCTTTTTGATGCTGTTTCGCGTTTTACCCTGATGGAGGGTTGGAACAAAATTTGGACCAACTTCCCTCCTTCTGTCGGTCTTAGATCCTTATAATTTACATGTTCCTTCATGTAAACATTCAAACCCTGGATGTGGTGTTGCATAAGGTGTGATTGCCGAATCCCTATTGCAAAAGACTGAAAAGACACCGAACCTGAATGCATAAGGGAAACTGTAAGATAACATTGTTAACTTTTATTGGTTTTCGATAGATAAGACCTTTATAAAATGAGACACTGACTTAAACTACTAAAAATTGGACAGTTGCATACAATTTTATAGGAGGAACTCATTTTCAAAGTGATCAAAACATCTCGAAACAAAATGCTAACACAACATAGACATATATTTCCTGCAAAAAAGTAATAAGCATTCACAACAACTTACCAAATTCCGATATTTAACTTCAACAAGACACGACAAATTTTTTGAAATAAAAGACAATAAGTTAGCTTAATTCAAACCCATTCTGACTGTAACATAACAAGTCTATTTTCTGCAACTCAACAATGTTTTATGTTAAATGTGCCACTTTTCTCCTTCAACTTAAGCCGTGCATTGGGGCATTTTCAGCTTGAAATTATTCTATGTACTTCTGACACAGCACTACAAAATCTCCCAAATTGAGTTTAGGCCCAGCCGGGGCTTATTGTAAATAATATACCAGGTAAAACAATGAAAAAATTAGGAAATATTTTTACAAGTCACATCCTCTGATTAAAGTTTATTACAAATTATGACAAAGTGTTGCTACAAATTGCGACCAGGTTTTTACAAATTGCAACAACATTTATTACAAATTACGACAAAGCACTCGATCTCAAACCCTTGTCCAGTGATAGGAAAGAAGTGGAAAGAGAATTTGCTGTGAAAACGGCGGATGAATAGTAAGATATAGGCAGCTAATATTGTGAATTGAGCCATCCTACTTAAAAATTTGTGTTCGATTATGTGAAAGTATTGACGTGAATTTACTTAAACTGCGTAATTGAAACACTCTTAGAATGTATTTGCAAAATACGGGTAAAGCCGTCAGATTTGCCCGCTGCAAATTTTTTATGCCTGAGCTCAAAAACAATGGAAAATTCCAAAGGGCAAATGTGATTGCCTGTAAATGAATCCACCCACTGATTATATAACAAAACCAGTAATATATAGATTTAACCAAGGCTATATTTATATATTTTTAATTACTTAAAACCAAAATAAGCTTCAACCCATGCAAAGAAATCCAGAAATTTATACTGTCTTACTGATTAACAAAAAAAATAATAAATTGTAAATCGAATCCGACCACAGTAATATTCTTAGCCATACGTCTACATCACTAAACTCCCTTGAACCCCCATTCTTCCCCCATCACACCCATACAAATTTGTAAATAAGCGCTAGTTATCATTCACGAAACTTTTTGGCTGCGTCTAGTTCACAAATGGTTTATGTTTGTAGGTCATTTTTCCTTTTAAATTCTACTCAGATGGTAAATGACGCCATTTCCTGTGTTTAGAATATGTTGTTTTTGCCAAGTCGGACCAACAAACTGTTACGTGTAAACTACACAATATCTGATACTCAGTAACCTTTACTGTAGGTTGTACTATTTGTTTCTTCTGGCGAAAAGACCCGAAAGGTTGATGACTTATTTAACATTTCCTCCTATGAATAACCATAATCAGTTTGCAGTCTTCACAAACTGCCCTTTGGGTGTTGAAATCGTCTCTCTGTCTCATAACTTTAACGCTGTGGCTACATGGCCGGTAACCGGTCCAGGTTTTCAAAACACCACCGGCAGTCTTGTCTTTTCTGTAAATTTCACAAATCGAAAAAAACGGCTTTTCTGAACTATCATATGTTGATTACTAAAAGTCAAGCGACTCTGAAACGCTTTAAGGTTCTCAATTTAGCGTTTGGTTTACGCTGGGCTCAGAAAACGAAACCATGTTTGTGACACTTATAACTTTCTTCAGGTCGACAGCCGGTCAAGATTTTTAAAACACCAAATGACCGGCAGTCTACCCTGCTATCAGAGTCGCTTCGATATCTCCTAGATAAGTCGGGAAAGAGGAAAGAGGAAAGGGGAAAAGAGGAAAGAGGAAAAAGGAAAAAGGAAAGAGGAAAGAGGAAGGAGGAAAAAAGTCCTAATAAGTGTCACAAAACATGGTTTCGTTTTCTGAGCCCAGCGTAAACCAAACACTAAACTTGAGATCTACAAAGCATTTCAGGATCGCTTGACTTTTCTTAACCGACATATGATAGTTTGGATTGGCTGGAATTCTTAGATAAGTCAAATTTATTGAAAATACCGTACTGCCGGTCATTTAGTGTTTTGGAAACCTTGACTGCTTAACGGCCATAAAATGACGTTGTAGTCAACAGCAACAACAACGGCAAAGAAATGTACAAAACAATGTAAGTTGCACATGCAAAGCTGTCTTTTGCTAATTAGACCTATTGCTGTTGCTGCTATCGTTGTTATTTCTTTTTTGCCGTTCTCAATGGTGTCGTCGTTTAGCATAACACGATTTTATTTTTGTGTGATTAATTAACATGTATAAGTACAGCAACTAGAGATTCGCTTTTAGCCATGGCTTCGCCGTACAAGAACACGATAATTTTAAAACTTTAGTTACCTGAAATGAAAAAAAGGCTTCGGTTGCCGGCAAGTAGTCTGTTGGCGAACGAAACGCAAGGTACACGTCTGGGTTTCCCTTCACCACCCTAGTGGGTTTTTACCCCTACCCTCAGAGTCTGTACGGATGGACGGCGTTCGGGCGTACGCTGACGTCATAACCAAATTTTTTAGGATCCATCGGTTTCCAATTTTCTTCAGCTATGGGGCTCCGCTCGCGCGCGGGAGCTCCGCTACTAATTTACATTTATACCACGAGGCACGTAGTGGTCATGTGGGCCTTTCGGTCTCGCCCTGTCCCTCTACGTGACGTGTTATGCAGTCTAGGCACTTTCTGTGGGATAAAAGGAGTTGCATGTCTAGAACAATCCCTGTTTAAACTCGTAGCCGCGACGCCAACATTACTTAGAGCTGCAGATCACGAAATCCTTTTTTACTTCCGCCGCCATCGCGGCTGCCTCCTATCTCCTTTCCAATATTTTCACTTTGAATCAACTTGGTGGCCGTTTTATCTATTCCCACCTTTGTCGAATGTATTAATATGAATTGCCTGTCGTCACAGGCGCAGGCTTTTTTTCACATTTCTATTAAAAGCCACTAGCGTGGCAAATTTTGTTGTACCGTGCGTTTTTCATTCGAAAACAGAGCTTGCCGCACACATTCAACACCCACATTGTATTCTTTCTTGATGCTAGTTTGGTCGCGGTATAAATGGGATTTAAAGGAGTACGCGACTTTTAACTTGTGTTTTACCTGTTTTGCGATGCCGTTTGTTACTTATGTTTGCATAGTACCTTGCATGAAAGGCGTGTGTTCAGCAAAGTTGAAGAGGGGAATAAAGGCGCGCTAGGAAGGAGGGAAGGTCCCTTTCCTTCTTACTGGCGCGCGTCTTTCATTATCGCGCGCATTTATTTCATATCTCCCCTGCTCTTCAAACGTCTGCCACGCAAGCCATTTGTATTGGCGCATAGAATGCTCAAACGGCTTTTTTTCTAACTTCCTTTCTTTACAGGTCGTGATATCTTATTCGGTTATTTGCGAATACTTCGTGCCCATTTTCTAACTCAAAGGTGAGCACAATGTCGATCTTAAGCTAGGTACATTCTGATCATTCTTGCATTATGAGCCTGTACGATATCCTTGGTCCACATTCCTACAGTATGTGACTATCTGAACTACTAAAAATTTCATGATAATTACTCCATAATATCAAGCCTCTCAAGATTAGTTCAGTTTTTGTTCTGTCAGTAAATCCCTGTGTAACCAGTATGTTTACTTTTATTTCTTTTATTTCTTTTACAACCCTATCCCTAGAGCCTCGCTCTGAAGAAAAGATAAGCAAAATGACAGTGACTGAGGCTTGATCGATGAAAATGAGTGAGTAGCAATTTTTAAAGTGGTTGTTAAGTGCAGTATGTCTGTGAGATCGGGCTGTTCAATCCTTTGCAGCATTTTCCAGCTGTAAGCTTTTCAAGCTCATGGTTCGATTAAAGTAAGATTTTCGTACAACCCCATACATTTATTATTAGCAACTTCATACTTTTTCACGCAAATAGTTAATTTTACACCAAAAGGGTTGAGACATGAGTTCATAATTAATTTATGGGGCTGTAAGGAAATCTTGCCGTCCAAACACTTAAGGTGGCCCGAAGCTATTTATATGCGTGTTGGTTATGTTTTAGAATCGCATTTCTCAGGAGGAACTATTTAGCCAAGTTTTTGGCATCCTTATTAAAGAATAGTGGAACTTCAAGAAAATGTTATTTAATTTCTTAAAGGTTTAAAATGTTTGCATATTTTTAAATCTGAATTTTTGCGAAAAATGAGATAACTTCGAAATCCTACGACAGAGTTTTCCTATAATTCAGCAAATAAGCCCTAGAGCGCTAGTTTTATGTCAGCAAGTTTAAAGTCAATCGTGGCCATACAACTCACTGCACAAAATGCTGGTCAAATTTAACCTTAAAATGTTACGCTAACACATTTGTGAAAGGTGACCCACATATAGAGGAAGAGTGCCGACAGACTATCTCCTACCTGAAAGGGTATTCTTACCCAAGGCTTTCAGATAGGAGATAGTCCGTCGGCACTCTTCCTCTATATGTGATTCAACTTTCGTGATGTTAGCGTGGCATTTTACGGTTATATGACCAGCGGGTTATGTGACCACGATTGACTCCAAACTCACAGATACAAAACTAGAGAGCTCTGAGGCTTATCTGCTGAAGTTAAGGAAACTGATTCGAATCTGTCGTAGGATTTCGAAGTTATTAATATTTTTCACAAAAATGCGGCTTTAAATATGTAACGTTTTTATACCTACAAGAAAGTAATAAACAAGTCAAGACAGGAATTTTATTTATACCACACACAGAAAAAAAGACATTAGAAAAGACAATACTACCTATGTAAGGTATAAACCACCTAAAAAATAGCTTAAAAGCTGATCCTAGCTAAGAGGCATTATACATTAATTAAGAATATTAAAGAGATTGTTTCATGGAGGGACAAGTAGAAAATGATGTAAAAAAAAACAAACAAACAAATAAACATCGAGAAAAACGCACAAGCACAGACTGAATCACTGAAAAATTGAGGAACTGGAGCAAATATTGGAAAAGAAAAAAGTTAATATGAAGCCTTTTTCAAAGGACTGTTTAAACTTGCGAAGAGTAACACACTTAAGAGATCCTTCAAAAAAAAATAATTTAAAAAAGAACATGATCCAAAGAACAGCTCCCTTAAAGCGAATATTTAATTTGCCATAATTTGTTTTCACCAAAGGAATGCAAAATGTAGGGGCTAGAGGGGCCACATGCTTTCCCAGATCTAAGACTTGAAATAATATCTTGAATTTCCAGTATGGATCTAGGACTAAGAAAAAACTGTTAAACAAAAGCTTAAAAAGAAAGGTTGTAAAAACAGTGTCAGCCCTAGGAATACCTTGACTAAGAGTGTTGTCAACATTTGCCAATATTTGTATATTTGTTCCACTATTCTTTATTAAGGATGCCAAAAATCATAGAAATCGGCTAAATCGTTTTAGCTGGAAAGTGTCATTAAAAAACATAACCAAACAAATAGGGCTGAGCCATCTTAAATATTCCCCCGAACCGTGAGCAGTATATTGCGAAACCTTTTTCACTCTAAACCTCACATCTCAGCTGAGAGAATATTTAGAAACTCTGAATAACCATTATTTGTACGGTAACTGTATGTCCTGTGTTCCGAGTAGTTTCGTTTTGATTTATGGCTGTGTATAACATTACTATGTTGAACTTTACTATGTGTGATTTTCCTAATAATTTGTCGTTCTTATGCAGACTAAATCTATTATTACCATACTCTCATTTTCGGGGACTGAAGAGGAATAACGGCATCGGAATAGCGTAAATTTTCTAGTTAATATGATAATGGTTTTTAAGGGTTGGAGCCCTTCGAAAAGGAATAATGAAATTGTGCGGGAATGATGGAATAACGAAACTTTTCGAGAAGGAATTATGGAATAATGGAATACAATGAAATTTTTTTGCACGGAATAATGAGATAATTAACCGCCGGTTATTCCCCCTCACTGTGACTGATTAATTCCATTCGTGCAGCTATGAAGCTATTTCCACTCTGTTCACTGTAAGTCTGCAACGCATTAACGCATACAAACTTGCGTGTCTGATGCTCCCACCTACGCGTGAACGGAAGTTTTCCTAAAGAGCCCCTAGAATGGATTAGTGCAAATACGGATGAATATCAGCATCGTGTGAACGAATAGGTTTGCATGCACTTAAAGACGGTCTCGTCCGGACATGGCCTTAAATTCTTTGTACGCACGTCTTACTTAAACTGTCTGGGAGTCTCTTTATAGCAATGTCCCATCAATTCCTTTTCTTCCAAGAAAAATATTATGGTATCTTGAATTCTAGTGAACGAAGATGATGAAGGATTTAATCTCATTCAGCCCACGCTGATCCAGCAGTTGAAGACCATTCTAGATCAGTATCCTGACGATGGACAGATTTTGAAGGTAAGAAATGTGAAAGAAACCTCGGTATCTGTTCAAAGAGAGGTACTCCTTTTACCCTTCTAGTATTTTCGTTTTCTGAGTAATATCTGAAGTTGGGACAATCGAACATGGAGAACTTGAACATTGGGCTTGATGAGACGTGATGTGAAGAGTTTGGATAGGATATGACGAGACGCAATGAGATGGGATGAAATGGTAAAAGATGACATGAAGTGATGTGAAACGGATGGGACGTGGGATGATTTTGCCAAGGAGAGAAAGACAAGGACAATGAGATACGATTAGATGAGAAAAGAGATAGCATTGGATGTAGCCTGCAGTGCAAGCGTATTTTGGGTGGGCGAAACCTTGTTCGTGTTCGTATTGTTGTGGCCACCATCTTTGATTTTATGACAGTGGAAGATTGGGGAGAGTGGAAATACTAACCCTTAGGGTAGGTGCTCCCTTTGACTCGCCCCATTTCTTCCTCCCTTTGGGAAGTTTCAACATAGTGCTTTCGCGAGCAAAAACATTTGTGCCCCCGAAGAAAACGACTGCACTGCAGGCTACATTGGATGGTTTACTAAGTGAGACGAGATAAGATTAATCAATCGGTAAAAAGAGAAACAAATTAAAATTAGTAGTAAATAAATGTCTAACTTGATGCTTTAAGGTGGAGTAAGTACTGTGTATCCGGAAAGTTAATGTGTGATATATTAGAAGAAGTGGCTCCGTTATAAAGATACTCATTGAAGAATTGAGCCGTTTATACTCCTCTTTTTTTAATTGCATTTATGTATTAGGAGCTCATCCAAAATGCCGAGGATGCTAGAGCAACTCAAGTGAAATTCCTCCATGACCTGCACAGCTATGGAACAGAGAAACTGCATAGCGAAGGACTTGCCCAGTTCCAGGTAATCTGTGAATGATGTGGTAAACTCTCAGAAGGAATGATTTTTTGTCTTTTCGTTTCACTCTTTCTGTAAGAATGATTTTTATCAGGGTAGGGGTTTCGCATAATCCCCCCTCCCCTTTATTACTTTTCTAACAGTCCTTCCCTTACCGAAGAATTTACCCACAGCTCACAGGTCAATATCGTCTACAAAATGTCTTACAGCTTTATGGTCTATATTTAAAAAGATATAAATCTTATAAAAACTGACAGGCGTACTATATTTGTCGCACATTCTACTTGGTATTGCATTTTCATTCCATTTAGTGACCAGTTCCTTACGGCTGGATATGACTTAATTGTGTGAAGATGCTGTGAGTCAGATTTGAGCACCCGAAAGACTGGCAACTCTTAGGCATATTGCGATATGGGCAGCAAGCCTACTCTCCTATTGGACGATATAAAACAAACTCCTCATGTCAAAATGTCGGCTCTGGGTTGTGTTTTCCTACGCATGGTGTTCTACATTTACAACTTCAATCTATAACGATTTCCCATTACATACATTAGATGTTTCTTATATCATTTTAATTAATGTCCACTAGGGCCCAGCACTCTACGCCTACAACAACGCCAAGTTCACCCCTGATGACTGGAAAGGTATCAGGATGCTCTGTGACAGTATAAAAGTCAAGGATCCAATGAAAGTTGGTCGGTTTGGCCTCGGTTTCAAATCGGTGTTTCACATCACAGGTGATATATTTATCAGACCTCCACTGATCATGTTGTAATTAATGGCAGCAAAATCTGACAAAATTAATCATTACTTATTCCAAAGGTCATTACTGTTCATTACTTTAATAACCAAAGCACAATTATTTGGCAATTAATGAATGAGGCTGAGTAGGATATGAAGAATTTAGCAGATCGAGGAGGGTGTTATTCGCCAAGGCCGAAAGCCGGGGTGGATAGCACTCTCCGAGATCTGCTTAATTGTTCATATCCTACGACAGCCGAATTCATTAATTGCTTTATTATTCATTCAAAATAATTCCTAGTTTAAAAACATAGCTAAAACATGCTTACCTGCATTGATGTTAAGTTCATCTTCGATAGTGTACGTTTAGGTTTGTCCAGCTCCGCAAATATTCTCCAAATAGCAGATCTCGCCCTCTGAGTTGTCTTCTTGCTGTTTTTGCCATGTTTTTAGCTATTATTTCGCCTAGTTCCAGCTGTAGTTCTTACTCTTGAAACGAGTGAAATGTCCGCCATTCTTTTTTTCACTACCAAAACAACTCAACCTCGTCCCCAGGTCTTCTTGGTAACGATGCCTTAAACTGTAGAGTGCTGCATTTTTTACGTCATTTCCTCGTTAAACACAAAATTCTTCCAAATTTGGTCATCAGTAACTGGTTATGGTGAATTATGCGTTTGCTTTTAGCCAATCAGAATTAGGGAAATATTTTGAACGAATAATAAATATTATTATTATTCATTCAAAATATTTCCCTGATTCTGATTGGCTAAAAGCACACGCATAATTCACCATAACTAGCTACTGATGACCAAATTTGGAAGAATTTTGCGTTTAATGAACCGATGACGTCTAAAGTGCAGCTCTTGCAGGTTAATGCACCGTTAACCGAGAAGACCTGGGGACGAGGCTGAGTTGTTTTGGTTGTGAAAACAAAAATGGCGGAAATTTCACTCGTGTCAAGAGTAAGAACTAGGCGAAATAATTGCTAAAAACATGGTAAGAACAGGAAGAAGACAACTCGAGGGGCGACAACTGCTATTTGGAGGATATTTGCGGAGCTGAACAACGCTAAACGTTCACTATCGAAGATGAACTTAACATCATCGATGCATCGATGGAGGTAAGCATGTTTTAGCCATGTTTTTAAAGTAGGAATTATTTTGAATGAATAATAAAACAATTATTGAATTCGGCTTTCGTATCATATAAAGAATTATGGATCCTCGATCTCCATAATTCTTCATAAAATATTCAGCCTCATTCACTAATTGTTAATTAACAGTCGCCATCAACGTCTTTTCTACGTACATTACACCTATCGCCCACAAAGATGACAAGACTCTCAGCTTTACGACACTGGCTTTTGGAAAAAAAAACACCCGAAGGCTTAGCATTCTGGCGGCACATTAAAAAAAGAGTGGGGTAGGGGGGCATTTTCTTTTTTTTTACGGCCGATTGAAGGAATAGACTTTAACCGATTTACTTCTCATTCACCTGAAATGGGAAACTGATTTGTTTTTCTATCTTTTTTGGTGATAACATTGCGCTCGCATTCGCGAGTTTTTAATCTGTTAAAATCAATAAAAAGTCTTAATCAAACATCAAATCAATTTAAGTTTTAATTATTTGGCTTTTGGTTAATCCGATATTGTCAGCCAAGCTATTATCCTTTAATGTCTACGAACTGTCCAATTAAGGATTAATTTGGATAGTTTGAGATAGGGCTTTCCTTTAGAAATAGGCAAACTGCCCAATTTAAGAAAAATAGGACAGCTGGTCTGCGCCAATCAAATGCCAGAAAATTCAATAGGCAATGCAAACTAGCCAAACAGTCCAAAGTCTCTGTGACAACGCGCCAAAAAAAGTTTTATTGGCTGACGGCGGTTCGTCAGCGAACACTCTTGGCTTCTTGTTGCAATGAATGTCATTTTGTTTTGCTGCTGTTTTTTTTAATTTTGGCTTCTTGTCTGAGCCATTTAAAAGGAAAATGTATGACCAAACTGATGTATTGGAAACAATCAACATTATACAAATACAAACGGACGCCTGCGGAAATCGTTTGTAAAGAATAAGTTGAACTTATCTGACACTATAAGAATAAACCTTTTTTAGATCTTGCAGTGTAATTTTGTGTCAATTACAAACAGACGGGTTCGAGTGTACTATATTTCGCGTTTGTGACACGCTAAAAAATCTGGATTAACCATCAGCTTTATAATTAATAAGTAAGAGGACTACATGCTTGTCCATTTTGTAAATAATTGAATTCAAACAATTCCTCTGACAGCCAAATTGATCTCGGCCTACTGCCTTGTCTAATTTTGGCTGCCCTCGGAATTTTTTTCATCCAATTATTTCCAAAGTGGACAGCATGTATTCCTATTACATATACAAGTCCATAGGCGGAGAAGCGGGGGGGAGGGGATTACCATAGCCCCCACGAACAAAACTTTGGGGGCATAGCACCCCACGTTTTGGTGCCGAGAATATTGCTGGTGCAGTTCAAAAATTGTCAACGTATTTAGTCTCGGATGTAAATCTCAAGAACCACATAATAGGCACCACGAAACAGGACCGCCGGAACAACTGCCTACTGCTGCATTGCCACAAATCGATTACGGACACACTAGACACTGAAGATTGCCAAGAGGTGTACTTGTGCCAAAGAAAAACGCAAAGTGCATTTTGAACAATTTGAGTAATGGTTCGGGGCACATGGCTATAGTTCAAAACCACTTAACATAGTTTTTGAAGGATGGTAGATGGGCCTATACCGAAAATTATAGGGATCAAAACTTACCTTTTCGAAAATTTCAGGGGCTTCCGGGGCCTTTTATGGCCGTTTAAAATAATTATACCATTTTGGGTGTTCGAAAATCCTAGGTTTTATAATGAAATGTTCGTTTTTCTCAAATCGTCTTCCGAACAGATGTGCCCCTGTAGATGGACCTATTTCGTGTGTTTGGTTTTCCCCGTGTTTCCCCCACCGTCTTGTAACACCCTGACATCTTTATTCGTAGCGTCTAACCTGGACGCCATCTTCTCCCTCAGATGTACAGAACGTTGCGCAGCAATGTTGTAATTTCACACGTGCAATCATAAATTTACACCGAAATTTCGCGACAAAATTAAGATGTTATTTTTTCAGCCATGATTTTATAGCTTTAACGTTTTACTTCATTTTTTTTATTATTATTTTTAGATCTACCGAGTATATTAAGCGGTTCACAGATCGGTGTTATAGACCCACACGAGGAGTTCTTTACCAAAGGGAGAAACCGACGAACAGGTTACAGCTGGAGAATGAAGAACGATCGTCACATTATGGAAAATATACCAGACCAATTTGCCCCTTACAAAGGAATATTTGACTGTACAGATGATGTTTTCTCCAGAGGCTGGTACAACGGTACTCTATTTCGCTTTCCACTGCGACACCGACCCTCTGAACTTTCTCCGACTCTCTACTCCGCTGAAAAGGTTCACACATTATTTGAGGGATTCATGGCTGACGCACACTTGATCCTCCTTTTCTTGCAACATCTGGAATCTATCGAGCTGTACGTCCGTGAGAAACACGACAATCAACCAAGAAAAACGTTTCAAGTTCGAATCACAGATGAAAGCCTTCGTTTGGTACGAGAAAAGAGGGAGGAGTTTCACAACAAGATCTCCACTGGCAGTCTTTTGCCCCATCCTGTCCAAGTAACCTACCCGATCACGGTTGACACTGTACACTTTTCTCATGGCTCAGAAACCACCAAAAGTCATTCGTTTCTTGTAACAAACTACTTTTGTGGCGAGGAGATATCGTCTGACTTTCAAACCCTGGCTAAAGATCAAAGCCTTAGCTACTTACCCTTAGTTGGTGTTGCCATGGCATTACCAGCAAGTCCCAGTGAACCTACTCCGGAGATTCAAGGCCACGTGTTTTGTGTTTTACCTTTACCAGTTCAAAAGACAAGCCTGACAGGTTTGCCGGTTCATGTGAATGGTTTCTTTGCCTTGAGTCAGAACAGACGTTATATCAAATCTCCAAACGCAGAACAGGAAGATCAGGAGCTAACTGACAAGTCCCTCCTATGGAACAGGTGTCTTTTGAAGGAAGCTCTACCCAAGGCATATGCAACGATGCTACTAGAAGCAATCAACGAGAAGAGTTACAATATACAAGAAGAGACCGTTTACAGGTAAAGCTAAAATGTGTTAGCCTCTATGAAATAAGATACTTTAGATACTTCATTGGCGCAAAAGGAAAAATAATTGCGAGAGGGTAGTATTTCTTTAACTAAGTCTTCTTGGAATACCTTATTCTCACGCAAAGTTCGACTAAGCACTTGGAATATAGAGGACATTTTTTTATTACCTCGGCCCTTACATTCTAATTTTTAGAATATAACACCTTTTTTGGCCGCCCACGCAGCTAAAAAGGTTGGTTCACGTTCAACACGCCATAAAATTCAGGGATGGACCAGGTTTCGATCACATCGGTGCAATGTCAGCAAAACCTGTTGCTGTCAATATTGACATATGGTCTTAGGTAACTAAATGGTGCATTAACTAATTGCAGTTCCCGAATGCTGTATTCTGTAGGGCTTGGCCAAATATCGACGCCATCGACCAGAAATGGAAGAGATTGCAGAATCCCTTACTGGAGATCTTATGCTCTGCAAATGTCGTATACACCAAGGCTAATGGAGGAAAGTGGCTGAAAGTGGAAGACGCTGTCTTAGACAGACTTGATGAACACCAGCCAAAGGATTTGCTCATCAGCGTGTTACTAAACGGACATCAAAATGTGGCCACCTTGCCTGACTATGTGTTAAAGGCTTTTACCTCGGTCAGCAAGAAACCATTTATCAAAGAGATCACTCCCATGTTGGTGAGGCAAATCCTCAAGGAAAATCTTTCAAGCTACAGGAACCATGGGAGAATGGAGAAGTTGAAACTTCTAGCGTTCATCCTAAACTGTATAGACGAGAACTTCGCAGACCTAGTTGGACTGGAGCTGCTGCCCGTATCCAGTGGTGCCTTCAAATGCTTTTCATCCCCCTCAAACTGTGACGAAGCAATTTATGTCTGCTCACCCGATCATCCAAGGAAAATGTTTCCTTGTCTAGACCATCAGTTCCTGGATCAAAACCTGGACCAAAATCTTTTGGAAATGATGGAGAAAGCTGCAAGGAAAGGTATGAACAATACGAGAATGTTGTGAAATTTGTCTACAGCTGATTCAAAGCTTCCGCCAACAAGATAATCTTTAAGTTATTCTACTATTCTGGGACTGAAAATTATATTTCTCTCTCCCCCACTGATCAGTGCTGTGAGGAATAGTCTTGCTGTTACAATGTTTCGTAAAAAATAACCAAAAAATTTCATTTTAACATACCCAGCATCTAATCCTTCCTTTTTTGTATTGAGTTAGTCCCAAGAACACAGTACATTTTTGTAATAAAATTAAGGTAATGGCAAAAAAGGTAAAGGCGCCCACTAGCCAAAGGATACAACGCGACGAGCGAGGCTTAGGGAATAGGGAATAGAAAGAACGACTTTAACAGCCGGTGGGTAACAGTGTTAATTTCAGGTCAGGAATTCTATTCTTTTAAATAACTTTGTTATCGAATTCAGAGACACATGTATTTTTTGTACTTTCACGAACTCTAGGCGAGCTGTGATTGCCTATGATCTACCATGTAAACATCCAAAGCTGACATCACAGAAAAACTCCGTTATTGTTTTCCTAACATGGTGCCAGTTTTGGAAACGGCACGAGGCTTGTTTGTTACTTCATGTTCGTACCATATAGTTTGAAATCATTTTTTGATCTATAACGGTGCAGCACGGTTAAGTTGTATCTACTTGTTAAGCACAGTCTTTCTTGATGATAGAGGTACCTAATACTTAATACCCTGAAGGGCGCCGTAAAGAGCGGTTTTCGGGGGCAATTTTATAGTCCGATAAGAACGGCAATTTTTTTTCACGATCTTCTGCTATTTTAGTAACGAAAAGGATTTTCTTCAGCAGCATTAACAACAATAAACTTACACTCACTGCGTGTAAACAGATATGTTGGATTAATCTTGTCCTGGGACCATTGCCGCCGTGAAATCGCCTTTGCATCTTAAGGGGCATTTTAGACATGCGCTGAACTGTTCGAACCGTTCAAAATGTGACGTGCATTTTAAGTGGGGACTGAAGTAAGATTACATTATTTTCTTTACTGTTTAAATAGGATGCACACAGTTAAAGCTTCTTTGTAAAGAAGACATGGCGTCCCTTCTCTCAAATTCGTTGCCACCAGAGTGGTCACAAGGAGAAACAATATTGTGGTATCATAGATCGGATTGCTGCAACCATCCAGGATTAGGCTGGCTTGAACTCGTGTGGAATTACTTACGGGTGAACTTCGCCACGAACGATGAGCTCCGCGGGTTCACAGGTCTCCCCTTGATTCCACATGACATGTCACAAGAACCAATCAGCCTTGCTAGACTTCAGCAGCCTTCTAAGATAGTTTTGAAAAGTCTCTACGATGAATCTTTCGATGAAACGCTGATTCAGTCCTTGAAAGACCTTGGTCTAGTTATCATTCAAGAGTGTCCGTCTTACCTAACCCTTCACCCCGCGGTCATCAATGCATTTATTTACCCGCCATCACCACATGGTGTCTTAAAGGCGCTGTCGGCTTGCTCATCGGTTGTAGAATCTAACAAGCATTCACTGACAGACGAAGGCAAACGCTCCTTAAGGAAGTTCTTTTCAAAAGAATCGACGCTAGAACCCCAAGCAAAGCAGCTTCTCCGTACCCTTCCAGTGTTTGAGACGCTAAACAAATCTTTTCTTTCTGCGGAGGAGGATGTTTGTGCAGCACCACCAGAAGATTCTTATCCGGTAGCTCCTCGTAGGGTTCTTATTGACGTCACACACGATGACTCAAAGAGGTTGGCACATCTGCTAGACATCAGATGCCTATCGCCGATAGAATTTTTTCTTGAAGTTATATTTCCAGATGTCAGAGGAGGAAATTATTCTAACGGAGAGATCGACAGGATTATGGGATTCGTTATGGAGCGGTTTCAAGTTTACGCCAGTGAAGATGCTCGATTTGAAGAAGCGCTTACAAATTTGCCATTTGTACCGAGTGAAAATAGACGGGAAAGAGCTATGGACCTGTTCGATCCCGGGGTTGAGCTGTTGAAACGAATGCTGGCCGAAGAAGATGTTTTTCCAGTTGGTGAACAGTACACGAACCCCACAGCCCTCGTGGTTCTTAAGAAACTTGGTTTGAAGAGTGAAAAGGAAATTAGTGCAGACGATCTGTACCGCAGTGCCAGAAAGATCTCTCAAATGCCAAATTTGGAGGAAGCAAAGCGAAAATCGGCAACTATATTGTCATATTTAGACAGTTATTCAACGAAGCTTCAACAAACTGTCTCAGGGGTAACGTTGACACAACTTCTGCGAGACGTTCCATGGGTATCCGAAGTGAACGAAAGGCCCTTCGGTGTTCCTGTTAACCTTTACTCAACTGAAGAAACTAGCAAAGCCCACTTTTACAAACCCACGGAAGTGACAAGTGAAGATAAAGTTAATCTCATTGGAACAATGAAGCCTATTGTAAGAGTAGATTCTTCAAGTCAATTAGCAAAATGTTTCGGCTGGGATAAGATGCCGGATGCATTGGACGTGGTGCAACATCTGAGAACCGTGGTCACTCACTACACCCAGGATAAAAAGCCATATTACATTTCAGTTGTCAACGACATCTACTCATTTCTAGATCAGACCGCCAATATTGAAGTTATCAAGGAAGCTTTGCAGGGAATTGAAAACTCTATCTGGATTTGGAATGGAGATGGTTTTTCTTCTCCAGATGTTGTCCTTGCCTCAAGGCCTCCAATTGATCTTACTCCGTACATTTGTTCTCTTCCCTCAGAGGTGCTGCAGTTTTCAAACCTTTTTTCAAAGTTCGGAATGAGAGAGCACTGTGATGCTCTGCTTTTTGTACAGGTTCTTCAACTAATAAAACAGAAGTATGAATCTGGACACGAGTATCCAAGCACTGAGGTAAAAAGAGATCTCCAGCTATCTACAGACATTTTGAATGAGATTAAGCCAAACGTTGGAGAACAACTACCTTCAGAGATTCAAGAGAAAGTCCTCATCCCAACACACGTAGAAGGAGATTCTTACGTAAGGCTTGCACCAATTAAAGATTGCATGTACTGTGACCACGAGTGGCTAGAAGATGGCATACCTGTTGAAGAAGAAAATCAATGCTTTTTTGTGCATCAAAACATCTCAAATAGTACTGCAGAACTTTTTCAAGTTCGTACTCTTAGAAATCAATTATTGGAAGCTGATGAGATAGGAGATGAGTTTGGTCAAGAAGAAAAACTTACTCGCAGATTAAACAAACTTCTCGAGGAATACACAGATGGTTTTTCAGTACCAAAGGAATTAATCCAGAACGCAGATGATGCTGGTGCCACTGAGGTCAGATTTCTTTACGATGAAAGAACCAACGAAGATTCTATGGCCTGTCTGATTGACGAGGGAATGAAAGAATGTCAAGGTCCTGCCTTGTGGGTTTACAACAACGCTGAGTTTAGGGATGACGATTTTGAAAATATTACTAAACTCAACGGTGGTACAAAAAGACAAGAAACCGAGAAGATTGGAAAGTTTGGGCTTGGTTTTAACACGGTCTATAATCTGACGGACGTTCCTATGTTCCTAAGCAGAAACTACTTTGTGATTTTTGATCCCAACACCTTTTATCTTGGAAAAGCCATCACAAACAAGAGCAAACCAGGAATAAAAATCGACGTCAACAAGAATCCGGAGAGAAAACGAAGGCTTAGGAACCAATTTAAACCTTTCAATGGCATCTTTGGGTGTGATCTTCTTCTGAACAAAAAGGACAACTCATTTCAAGGTACTCTCTTTCGCTTCCCATTGAGAACTAAGAGGCAAGCTGTCAGAAGTGAAATTAAGCAAGATTATTACGGCCACAACCAAATGAGGGAGCTATTAGAGATTTTCGTAAGCGGGGCGAAAACGTTGCTCTTGTTTACGCAAAATGTCTGTCAAGTCAGCATATTTCATTTGCCAAGAGACTCAACAGAGCTGACACAACCCAAACTGATGTTTGAGGTAACCAAGGCATTATCACACTCAGGAATCATGAGAGAGTTGTCTGTTCCCATGAAGCTGCCAATACATCAGAGCAATGTTAGCACAGACGACTTACACCTTTTAAAACAATGTAACTTTCTACGAGCATCATCGCAGGTTTTAAAGCATATTGAGGATATGAAGGAAACCAATGACTATTTACTGAGGTCGGCAATCACAGTTAACATAAAAGCCACCCTAACTGAATGCGGACGCTTGTTCTTTGAGGACAAAATCTCACTGCATAATTCATCCGAGGTTTGGTTTGTTGCCTCGTCGATGGGCAAAGGCCAAGCGATACAGTTTTCAGTGAATGACAAGAGCTTGCTCCCAGCAGCTGCAGTAGCGGTCAAGTTGTTACCTCAGGAGAGTGAGAAGTTTGTACCAGAACCTGTTGTCAGTCACGCCGCTGGAAGTAAATCGCATCATAACGGTTCAGTATTTTGCTACCTTCCACTCCCAATTCACAGTGGTCTCCCTGTGCATATAAATGGCACATTTGCAGTAGCTTCGAACAGACGCCATTTGAAGCAGAAAACAGAGGACGACAAAGCCTGCGCTGAAGTTGAGTGGAATAATGTTCTGCTTAAAGATTCTGTCTGTTCCGCCTACCTGGACCTTCTGGAAGACATGAAAAGTACTGCTACTACGTACTGTTTTCACTCTCTGTGGCCCAGGGCGTGCGACATAGAACCATATTTTGAACCACTTGCGCGTTCCTTCTATCAGAAAGTTGCTAGTGAAGGCTATTCCCTTTTCTCAGATGGAGACACTTGGGTGGGCATCAATCAAGTGGTCTTTCTGGAGCCATACTTTCGTCGTGATCAACGGGTTGGAGACATATCAGTTGCAGTATTACAAAAGATGGTCACTGAACAAGAAGTTGTCATTGATCTCCCAGCAGAAATTGTACAGTCATTCATTGACTATGGTCTTGGGGAGAAAATCCAGTTGAAAGCCTACGACAGAAGTAGGTTTTTCCGTGAACTGTTTTTCCCAAACATTGGCTCCGTACCGGCAGACAAACGAGATGAATTGATCTTATTTGCATTGGATGATTCAAATGGAGAATTCGATGAATTAATAAAATCCTATGCTTGCATTCCGGCTTCACCCAATGGTAAAATCCTTAAACGCCCGATGGACCTTGTTCACCCAAACAAATCAACAGCCTCGCTATTTCATAGCGAAGATGAGAGGTTTCCGTTTGGAACTATTGAGACCTTCTTAGATTCTGTAAGACTTGCTAAACTTGAACAACTTGGTATGAAGACTGAAAAGGGAATCACTGCAGATGATCTCTACCACAGTGCCAACAATATTCCTCGAATGGTAAAGTCCTCGGAAGCAAAGCAGAAATCAGAGAATATTATGACGTTCTTAGACAGCAATCCGATCATTCTTCAACAAAATGTTTCAGGGGAACCGTTAGCACTACTTCTGCGAGATATTCCTTGGATATCTGTAATGGAGGAAACGCCTTTTGTTTACCTAAAAGTCTTTACTCACTTGTAAAAGATCGTGAAGTCGCGTTCTACAAGCCCACAGAGAGGTCACAAGAAAGATAAAGTTAATCTCGTTGGAACAGTGAAGCCCACTGTAAGAGTAGATTCATCGAGTCACTTAGCAAAATGTTTCGGTGGGATAAGATGCCAGATGCATTGGACGTGGTGCAACATTTGAAAACCGTGGTCAGTCACTATACCCCGGACGAGAAGCAATATTACATTTCAATTGTCAAGACATCTACTCATTTCTAGATCAGGCTGCCGATCCTGAAGCCATCGAAGGTGCTTTGGAGGAATTAAAAACTCGAACTGGATTTGGAATGGGGATGGTTTTTCGTCTCCCCGATGCTGTTCTTTTGCTGAAAGGCTCCAATTGATCTCACCTGTTCATCTGTTCACCCCTCAGAGGTGGTGCAGTTCTCAAACTTGTTCTCAAAGTTTGGCATGAGTAGCCACTGCGATGCGCTATTTTTGGTGCAGATTCTTCATGTCATCAAAAAGAAGTATGAATCCGGACTGAGGTATCAAACCTCGGACGTAAAAAGAGATCTGCAGTTATGCACAGATATCTTGAATGAGATCAAGCCAGACGTTGGTAAACAACTAGCCTTAGAGATTCAAGAGAAAGTCCTCATCCCAACACACGTAGAAGGAGATTCTTACGTAAGGCTTGCACCAGTTAAAGATTGCATGTACTGTGACCACGAGTGGATGGAAGATAGCACGCCTGTTGATGAAGAAAGATATTTTTTCGTGCATCCAAACATTCCAAATAGCACAGCCGAGCTTTTACAGGTTTGCACACTTAGAAATCAACTGCTGGAAGCTGATGAGATAGGAGATGAATTTGGTCAGGAAGAAAAACTAACTTGCAGATTAAACAGACTTCTAGAGGAATACACAGATGGTTTTTCAGTACCAAAGGAGCTAATTCAGAACGCAGATGATGCTGGTGCCACAGAGGTCAGATTTCTTTACGATGAAAGAGCCAACGAAGATGCTATGACCTGTCTGATTGACGAGGGAATGAAAGAATGTCAAGGTCCTGCCTTGTGGGTTTTCAACGACGCTAAGTTTAAAGACGAGGATTTTCGAAACATTACCAAACTCAATGGCAGCTCAAAAGAACAAGACAACGAAAAAATTGGAAAGTTTGGGCTTGGTTTTAATACGGTCTACAATTTGACAGACGTTCCTATGTTCCTAAGCAGAAACTACTTTGTGATTTTTGATCCCAACACCTTTTATCTTGGAAAAGCAATCACAAACAAGAGCAAACCAGGAATAAAAATCGACGTCAACAAGAACCCGGAGAGAAAACGAAGGCTTAGGAACCAATTTAAACCTTTCAATGGCATCTTTGGGTGTGATCTTCTTCTGAACAAAAAGGACAACTCATTTCAAGGTACTCTCTTTCGCTTCCCATTGAGAACTAAGAGGCAAGCTGTCAGAAGTGAAATTAAGCAAGATTATTACGGCCACAACCAAATGAGGGAGCTATTAGAGATTTTTGTACGCGGGGCGAAAACGTTGCTCTTGTTTACGCAAAATGTCCGTCAAGTCAGCATATTTCATTTGCCAAGAGACTCAACAGAGCTGACACAACCCAAGCTGATGTTTCAGGTAACCAAGGCATTATCACACTCAGGAATCATGAGAGAGTTGTCTGTTCCCATGAAGCTGCCATTACATCAGAGCAATGCTAGCACAGACGACTTACACCTTTTAAAACAATGTAACTTTCTACGAGCATCATCGCAAGTTTTAAAGCATAATGAGGATGTGAAGGAAACCAATGACTATTTACTGAGGTCGGCGATCACAATTAACATAAAAGCCACCCTAACTGAATGCGGACGCTTGTTCTTTGAGGACAAAATCTTACTGCATAATTCATCCGAGGTTTGGTTTGTTGCCTCGTCGATGGGCAAAGGCCAAGCGATGCAGTTTTCAGTGAATGACAGGAGCTTGCTCCCAGCAGCTGCAGTAGCGGTCAAGTTGTTACCTCAGGAGAGTGAGAAGTTTGTACCAGAACCTGTTGTCAGTCACGCCGCTGAAAGTAAATCGCATCATAACGGTTCAGTGTTCTGCTACCTTCCACTCCCAATTCACAGTGGTCTCCCTGTGCATATAAATGGAACATTTGCAGTAGCTTCGAACAGACGCCATTTGAAGCAGAAAACAGAGGACGACAAAGCCTGCGCTGAAGTTGAGTGGAATAATGTTCTGCTTAAAGATTCTGTCTGTTCCGCCTACCTGGACCTTCTGGAAGACATGAAAAGTACTGCTACTACGTACTGTTTTCACTCTCTGTGGCCCAGGGCGTGCGACATAGAACCATATTTTGAACCACTTGCGCGTTCCTTCTATCAGAAAGTTGCTAGTGGAGGCTATTCCCTTTTCTCAGATGGAGACACTTGGGTGGGAATCAATCAAGTGGTCTTTCTGGAGCCATACTTTCGTCGTGATCAACGGGTTGGAGACATATCAGTTGCAGTATTACAAAAGTTGGTCACTGAACAAGAAGTTGTCGTTGATCTCCCAGCAGAAATTTTGCAGTCATTCATTGACTATGGTCTTGGGGAGACAATCCAGTTGAAAGCCTACGACAGAAGTAGGTTTTTCCGTGAACTGTTTTTCCCAAACATTGGCTCCGTACTGGCAGACAAACGAGATGAATTGATCTTATTTGCATTGGATGATTCAAATGGAGAATTCGATGAGTTAATAAAATCCTATGCTTGCATTCCGGCTTCACCCAATGGTAAAATCCTTAAACGCCCAATGGACCTTGTTCACCCAAACAAATCAACAGCCTCGCTATTTCATAGCGAAGATGAAAGATTTCCGTTTGGAACTATTGAGACCTTCTTAGATTCTGTAAGACTTGCTAAACTTGAACAACTTGGTATGAAGACTGAAAAGGGAATCACTGCAGATGATCTCTACCACAGTGCGAACAACATTCCTCGAATGGTAAAGTCTTCGGAAGCAAAGCAGAAATCAGAGAATATTATGACGTTCTTAGACAGCAATCCGATCATTCTTCAACAAAATGTTTCAGGGGAACCGTTAGCACTACTTCTGCGAGATATTCCTTGGATATCTGTAATGGAGGAAACGCCCTTTTGTTTACCTAAAAGTCTTTATTCACTTGTAAAAGATCGTGAAGTCCCGTTCTACAAGCCCACAGAGGTCACAAGTAAAGATAAAGTTAATCTCGTTGGAACAGTGAAGCCCATTGTAAGAATAAATTCATCGAGTCACTTAGCAAAATGTTTCGGCTGGGATAAGATGCCAGATGCATTGGACGTGGTGCAACATTTGAAAACCGTGGTCAGTCACTATACCCCGGACGAGAAGCAATATTACATTTCAATTGTCAAGGACATCTACTCATTTCTAGATCAGGCTGCCGATCCTGAAGCCATCGAAGGTGCTTTGGAGGGAATTAAAAACTCGAACTGGATTTGGAATGGGGATGGTTTTTCGTCTCCCGATGCTGTTCTTGCTGAAAGGCCTCCAATTGATCTCACTCCGTTCATCTGTTCACTCCCCTCAGAGGTGGTGCAGTTCTCAAACTTGTTCTCAAAGTTTGGCATGAGTAGCCACTGCGATGCGCTATTTTTGGTGCAGATTCTTCATGTCATCAAAAAGAAGTATGAATCCGGACTGAGGTATCCAACCTCGGACGTAAAAAGAGATCTGCAGTTATGCGCAGATATCTTGAATGAGATCAAGCCAGACGTTGGTAAAAACCTAGCCTTAGAGATTCAAGAGAAAGTCCTCATCCCAACACACGTAGAAGGAGATTCCTACGTGAGGCTTGCGCCAGTTAAAGACTGCATGTACTGTGACCACGAGTGGATAGAAGATAGCACGCCTGTTGATGAAGAAAGAGATTATTTTTTCGTGCATCCAAACATTCCAAATAGCACAGCCGAGCTTTTACAAGTTCGGACACTTAGAAATCAACTGCTGGAAGCTGATGAGATAGGAGATGAATTTGGTCAGGAAGAAAAACTAACTTGCAGACTGAACAGACTTTTAGAGGAATACACAGATGGTTTTTCAGTACCAAAGGAGCTAATTCAGAACGCAGATGATGCTGGTGCCACAGAGGTCAGATTTCTTTACGATGAAAGAGCCAACGAAGATGCTATGACCTGTCTGATTGACGAGGGAATGAAAGAATGTCAAGGTCCTGCCTTGTGGGTTTACAACGACGCTGAGTTTAAAGATGAGGATTTTCGAAACATTATCAAACTCAATGGCAGCTCAAAAGAACAAGAAAACGAAAAAATTGGAAAGTTTGGGCTTGGTTTTAACACGGTATATAATTTGACAGACGTTCCTATGTTCCTTAGCAGAAACCACTTTGTGATTTTTGATCCCAACACCTTTTATCTTGGAAAAGCCATCAAAAACAAGAGCAAACCAGGAATTAAAATCGACGTCAACAAGAATCCGGAGAGAAAGCGAAGGTTTCGGAACCAATTTAAACCTTTTAATGGTATTTTTGGTTGCGATCTTCGTATGAACAAAGCTGACAACTCGTTCCCAGGAACCCTTTTTCGATTTCCCTTGAGAACCAAAGCACAAGCCGTAAGAAGTGAAATTAAACAAGTTCATTACGACAACAACCAAATGAAAGAGCTGTTAGAGATTTTTGTACGCGGGGCGAAAAAGTTGCTTTTATTCACGCAAAATGTCCGTCAAGTCAGCATTTTTCATCTTCTTGGAGAGTCTTCGGAACCGACGCAGCCTACACTGATGTTTCAGGTGACGAAGTCACTATCACAAACGGGCATATGTAGAGAGTTGTCCTTTCCCTTAACACTTCCATCACGTCTTGGACATCTTTCCAAGGACGAACAGTACCTCTTAAAACAAAGCAACTTTCTACGAGCTTCATCGGAAGTCGCGAAGCATACTGGGGATTCCAAGGCAACCAGAAATGATTTGCTAAGGTCAGCGTTTACATTTAACATTACAACCAACGTTACCGAAAGCGGACGCTGTTTCTTTGAGGATAGGAGCCCACTAGAAAGTATAGCCGAGGTCTGGTTTATTGCTTCGTCAATGGGCAAAGGCCAAGCGATGCAATATTCGCTAAATGACAGGGGCCTGCTCCCAGCAGCTGCAGTAGCTGTTCAGTTGATAACTCAGGAGAATGAGAAGTTCGCACCAAAACCTGTTGTCCGCCATGCCACTGGAGGTAAATCACATCACAACGGAACAGTTTTCTGCTACCTTCCACTTCCAATACACAGTGGTCTCCCTGTGCATATAAATGGAGCATTCGCAGTAGCTTCGAACAGACGCGACTTGAAGCAGAAAACAGAGGATGACAAAGCCTGTGCTGGAGTAGAGTGGAACGACGTTTTATTTACAGATTGTGTTTGTGCAGCTTATCTAGACCTCCTTGAAGACTTGAAGTCAAGAGCTACTATGTACTCTTTTCACACACTGTGGCCCAGGGAGTACGACATGGAGCCATGCTGTGAACCACTTGTGCACTCATTCTATCAGCATGTTGCCAGTGGAGGTTATTCCCTCTTTTCTGATGGAAACAGATGGGTTGACATTAGTCAAGTGGTCTGTCTAGATCCATACTTTCGTCAGGATAAAGATGTTGGAGGCATATCATTTGCTGTATTACAGATGTTAGTCAGCAAAGACAAGGTTGTCATTGATCTCCCTGTGGATATTTTCCAATCATTTGTTAAGTATGGTCTAGAGGAACACATCCGGTTGAAAACCTACGATAAGGGCAGATTTCTTCGTGAACCGTTTTTCCCAAACATCCTGTCCATACCACAAGACATGCGAGATAAATTGGTCTTGAACGCTTTGGATGATACCAAAGGACAATTTGATGAACTTATTGCAACTCATGCTTGCATTCCAGCTTCACCTCGTGGTAAAACGCTTAAGTGCCCCGCCGAACTTATACACCCGAAAAAAGCAACGGCCTCACTATTTCAGATTGAAGATGAAAAGTTTCCCTTTGGCACTGATGACACATTTCTAGATTGCGTAAGACTTACAAAACTCGAGCAACTTGGAATGGTAGCAGATGACCCCCCTTGGGGTATGTTTGAAGAAAGGGCCAAAAGTGTCGGCATTTTGAATGAAGAAAGCAGTAAAGGGGCCTTAGAGCGTGCAAAGGCATTAATAAGTCTTCTAGAAAGAAAGCTATACCCTGGAGCTGAAAGCCAAGTCCCCGAGGGTGTTCAAGAGAATCTTTTGCAAATCAAATTTCTTCCAGTTTCCACGAAACCAGAACATTTTCCTCTTTTTTGGAAAGGGGGCGATCTACGTCCCGAGAAAAGAGCAAAATTGTTGTCACCTGAGGAGGCATTTGTTGAAAGCACGATGTATCTTGTTTGCTGTTCTGAGCCGCTTGTAGATGGTAACATCTATATTTCTTCATCTGTTAAAAAGTTCTTGCATCTGGACAAAAAAGCCACAGTTAAGCACATTATCACCCAACTTGATATGGCTTCGTGTGCAAACGACGATCTGAATTCAGTGCAGTTTGAACAAGTGAAGACCATCTGTGTAGAAGCTTACAAGTACCTTCAGGCAGCCCTGAATGAGAATCAAATCGACGAAAATGAAGTGCGAGGAATTTTCGAAGAAAAAAAATTCATTCTAGCCGGAAGAGAGTTTGTTGATACAAAGCATGTTGCTTTTGAATTGCCCGTTGACTGTCGCCCTTACCTACATAAGCTGCCTGAGGATCTTGCGAAACAGTTTGGCAATTTGATGAGAAGCGTTGGTGTAAGACAGGTATATGAGGCCAGCGATTTCCTCTCTTCCTTGGAACAAATAAAAAGGACCTTTGGGGACGCAGTACTTGAAAAGAAAATTCTACAAGCTGCCGTTCATCTGGCTTGTCAACTGGGTAAGTGCCTCACAGATTGTTGCGCATCTGATGGAAAGCAACAAACAGTTTATTTACCTGACTCCCAAGGCATAATGAGACCTGTGAGTAAACTGTGCATCAAAGACTGCCTCTGGATTTCTGATGAAAAGGATGTTCACTATGCAGAGAGCATGATTCCTCACCAAATATGCCTTAAGTTGGGGGTAAAAACACGTCGAGCAGAAGCATTAAGCCGATGTGCGGCTGGAATTTCGTTTGGACAAAAGGAAAAGCTGACAAATCGTTTACAGGGCCTTCTTCAGGCCTATCCATGTGAAAAAGAAATTTTGAAAGAACTTCTTCAGAATGCTGATGATGCAGAGGCAACAGAGATTTGTTTTATTAAAGACCCAAGACAACATCCAGATGAACGTGTCTTTGAAGATTCATGGAAACCTCTTCAGGGTCCTGCATTATGCGTGTTCAATAACAAGCCATTCACTAAAGCAGATATAAAAGGAATACAGAATCTTGGAGAGGGAAGCAAAGGCAGTGACCCCAACAAAACTGGCCAGTACGGCGTGGGTTTCAACGCCGTATACCATTTGACAGATGTACCTTCATTTGCCTCATGTGGCGACGAGATTGGGGACGTTTTATGTGTTTTCGATCCAAATTGCAAGTACGTGCCGGGAGCTACCCAGTGGGAGCCGGGCAGAATGTTCAGGGAAACAACGAAGTTGAGGGACGATTTTGCAGATGTTTTTTCTTGCTATAACGAGGACCATTTTTCCTTACGAAACGCTACCATGTTCCGATTTCCGTTAAGAACTGAGGAGATGGCAAAAGATTCCGAGATATCTAATTCTCCTGTTACACTCGAAACTCTAGAGGGGATGATGGAGTCATTAAAAACAGAGCTCTTTGAAGTCCTTCTGTTCGTCAACAGTGTCAAAAAGATTACAATGTGTGACATTGACGACAATGGGCAAGTGGTTAACTCCTATTTCGTCAAAGCGGAAATGTCAGAGGAAGACTGTTTGGAAAGGCAGGCGTTTGCCACCTACGTTAAACAAATTGGGAGGTCATTTAAAGAAAATCCTGAAAGGTCACCCATTCAAGCGCAGGTTAAGAAGTGTTCCTATGTTCTGACCTTAAAAGACAGCTTGGAGAACGAGGAAAAATGGCTAATTATCCAGCAGATTGGGTTTGAGAACCACGTGAAAAAGAGCATCATCGATGCCTACAAGAGCAACGACTTAGGGATGCTTCCTCGAGGCGGTGTCGCTTGCCTATTGGAGCGTAAATCAGCTTTAGCACAAAGAACAGAAGAAAAGAAGAAAGTGTACTGTTTTCTCCCGCTTCCCATAGAAACAGATCTTCCATTGCACATCAATGGTCATTTTGCACTGGATCATGAGGCACGACGAAGCTTAGACTCAACTGGTGGCTACAAAACTGAATGGAACAACTTCTTATTGAATGATGTCATAGCGTCGTGCTATGTCACACTTTTGGACAAGGTAAGACGTTTCTATAGTTTGCCCGTTTCTCAGAGTCCCAACGAAATTAGCCTCAGCCGTTGCAAAGACGAATTGGCTAAACAGATAAAAGAGTACGAAAAGCTGTTTCCGTGTGCGATCTCACGCAATCAGTATTGGGCCACTTTGGTAACGTCCGTGTACCATGGAATGGACCAATTGAGGTTGCGACTTCTTCCGGTGTTGCGCTGTGACACGACAAATGGCTCTACTCCTAACTCGCAGCTCGCGTGGCTTCCTTTAACTGGAGATGGGAAGGAACAAGCATTCTTCAACAACCTCGCTGAATGCGATTGCTTTACTCCTAATTTCAAGCGACCTTTTGATGAAAAAGAGACGAAATGTAAGATCAAAGAGAAAGCGCTCTTCGAAAATATTTTACTTAAAACTGGGTTTAACCTTGTGGCATTTTCTATGTCCATTTGTAAAGCGGCACATGAATGTGGAGTTAAAGTATCCATTGTTTCTCCTTCTGCGGTGATGGAATTTTACAAGTCTTTCTGTGCTGAAATTCCTCTTTGCAGTATTGGCTCGCTCTTTGTTGATGTCAGAGACACTCCTTTCAAAGATGTTCAAACTGTGGTCACAGTTCTCAAATACTGCAAGGAAAACGAAAGTTTTATAGAAAACTTACCAGGCCTTCCACTACTTGTCACACAAGACAACCATTTGCACCCATTTAATGTCACTAATCGCAAGTTTCTCTCACGCCATCACCACATCCTTCCACAGTGCCAAGAAATGTTCGTCCATGACCATATTAGGACGCATATCTTGGGTGATGCCAAGAGTCTGGACGCCTCAGTGTTCAAACATTTTGATGTCGAGAGTTTTGCGGCTAATTTGCATCGAGCGCTACCTCAAGAGTATTTGACCAACAGTCAATACGTAAAATGGAACCCAGAGCAGGTTGCAGCGCCAAATGGTGACTGGGTTTACCGAGTGTGGAGGTTCCTGGACGAACAAGTAGAGAACGTCCTCAGAGAAGAATTAAATAAAGAAACTAAAATGGCCAGCCACATTAAGATAACTCATAAATCAACAATCCAATTGACACAGTTACGTGAAGAGAAGGAAACCCAAATCATTCGAACAGTGCTTGAACCTCTGAGCAAGTGCAGCATCCTCCCATGCACAGAAACGACCAGTTTGCCAACATCAAGTCAGGGTAACGCCTCTGGAGTAGTAGCGGAGCACTATTTAGTACCTTTAAGCCTGGCTGATTCTGTCCTTGATTTCACATCCCTTGATACTACAAGTAAATTTCTTGTTGAAGCATTGAGGAAGCTCAGTCTTCCGGAATTGAACAGAGCTGTTTTGTCATCAACTGTGACTTGGGGACTTCCAAGTCGGCTCGTTGCGACCATAAACTCACCCAAATTTCTTCTGTTAGCACTATGTCAGAAGATAAAGAGAAAACCGAACTCTCTGCACGGGAGGTTGAGCAGTAGCGAATGTCGTACCATTTTGGAGCATTTCAGCAACAGCGTGAAAGACCTGGACGAAGGTGACATATTAGCGTTAAGAAAACTTCCTCTTTATGAAGCAACTCATGGCGGACAAGTGAGCCTAGATAACAAAAGGGTCTGTGTTGTTCCTGTTGAAGTACCTCATGACGGAATGGGAGTCTTGGAAAGTGTGGGTGATTTCATCTTTCTGAAAAGCTGGTCGCATCTTTCGGCGCTTTATGAATTTATGAAGTTTGAATCTGTTTCATCGGTTGATGTCTATTGCAAATTCATTTTGAAATATTTTAGTCTATTTCCCAGTAAAGCAAGGTTAGTTCATCTTAAGCACATCCGTGACGGTATGTTGACACAGACATTTGCTAAGGAGGTTGACAAGCAGCGACTATTGTCCTGCTTGGAAAACGCTGAAATCATTCCTTCTAGCCGAGGCAACCTAGTAAAGGCATCGTCGTTTTATGACCCTGAGCATGAAGTGTTCAAATGCATGCTTTCGGATGACATGTTTCCATCAGAGCCTTTTAACGCCAGGGAGTGGTTGCCGTTTTTAAAGACTATTGGATTGATTCACGAAGTTTCTCAAGATCTCTTCAAGACGTTTGCTCTGAAAATCGCACACGAAGGCAATACACAACCCACGAAGGAAACAGAGGATAAATCAAAAATTCTCGTTGCACACATGTTAAGAAGAAATAACGTTGTAGACCAAGGCCTGCTTCAAGCTATTCGTGATATTCGGTTTGTCCCTTCAGCACCTGTCAAGCAAAACCTCCAAGCAATACATCGACCGTATTGTAAACGAGATGACGGTAAGGCAACGTATATATCCTTTAGAGGTTCTGTACTAGCAAAGCATGCAAAAATAGTTTGGACAACAGCCGGTCTTCTTCCTCAGTGGGCAGATCCGAAGGAATATCAGTATCTGATACATGCACCTGACTGGAGTAATACAGAACATTACTGCAACGCGATAACGGCACAGCTAGGCATTTTAGCGGAGCCAACAGTTGAGCTTGTTACACCCCATTGCCAAAATGTGTCGTTCCAACTAGAAAAAGAAAACGACCAAGATTTACCTGAGGAGCAGATTATGAGAAGAATGAAAATCATGATAAAAATCTACAGATTTTTGGAAGTTAAGGCTACCTCAGATTCTTTCGCGAGAGACCGACTAAAGCACACGCCGTGCATTGTAGTTGAAGAAGGCAGACGCCTCGTTAGAGTTGAACAAGTGGTCATTGAATTGAACAGGGAATTTGAGATTCAGCCATTCCTCTATGGGTTACCTGCGGAACTAGTTCAGTGTAAGGGCTTGTTTCAGTATTTGGGCTGTGCCTCTGTAGCAAAAGTGTCTCACTTCGCTATGGTCTTAGATATGCTTAAAAAGAAATGCAAGGAGAAACCTCTAGATCCAAATGAGAAAATGTGCGCTTTAAAAGCTGAAAGAGGTATTTTTGAAACACTACAAGATCACTCGGATGATGGCCACAGTTTTTCCTCACTTAACCTGCCAGCTACATGTCCATTGATTAAAAAAGATGAAGGACCTTCCCTGCCTGTCGTGTTACCGAAATCAACAGAGATTCTATTTGATGATGCCCCTTTTTACCATGAACGCATTAAAAAATTTGATCAGCTCTTCCTGGTTGACCTTTCATGGTCTAATGTCCGTTGTAAAAAGGGCTTAAATTACAAGGATCTTATCATGCTGCTCCCCCCAGCGGTGCGTCCTGAAATGTTGTCCTCTGCCGTCATTGAGCAATTTTCTGATTCCTCTGAGAGAGGTGAGAGCTTTGATCTTGGCGCAGCGGGTTTGCTAAAAAGGTCAGTTCACTCACCACAATTCTGTCGTGGTATCATCAGACTTATTCGTCACGCAAGCCGCGAGAACCAGGAAAAGGTAGATGAGAGTGTCGTTGCCACCATAAAAAACAGATTGCAAAGTATCGAGATTCATGGAATGAGTAAAATTGTTACTCAGCTACTCTACAAAGGAATCACAATTCCAGGAAGCGAGATGGAAAGGCCATACTTTTTGGAAAAGGTTAGCAAGTCCGGTGAAGAGATTTGGAATGTATATGTCAATGCTGTAGACGACGCACAAAAAACGTCATCTGCAATAGCTCTGACATTAGCCAAGGTGATATCAGAAGCATGTAAGGGACTCCTGAGATACGCGGCTATGTTCATTCCCACGATGTTGCAAAGCCAACCAGAAGAGATTTCCTCTTTTCTGGATATGATGAAGATACATCAAGATGATTCCTATGATGGAGAGAAAGGACAGATCTTACCACAGCCAGGTAGTTACATTCCAATTGCCGAACAACACCTTCTCAATGCATCCTTTTCATATTTCAAACCTGGTGAATATGTTGGATACGAAGTTGACGATCCAAGTCTACAACTTAAAGATGGAGATGCAACTTACATTTATGCTGTTATAATCGAGGAAGTTTCAAATCCCAACACCAGTCTCATTACGAAGTCGTACAAGATCAACATTGGAAACGACAAACCACCGAAGATTGTTCCAGCAACTGAGCTCTACAAATTTTACCGTCTTCAGGAGATAGCATCGGCTGCACTCGTTCCATCATTTAATCAAGGGACAAACATGGATAGCAAACATGAAATATTGAAAGAGATCACAAAAACACTAGAAGAGGCTTGGAGGCTACCAGAAGACAGAAGAAGACAAGTTGTCAAGCGACTATTTTTTTTTTGGCACCCTGACAAAAACCCAGGAAATGAGGAATTCTGTACGGAGGTTTTCCAGCACATAAAGAACGAAATTGAACGTTTGGAGAGGGAAGGCTGGGGTAGAAGTGAACGCGAAAGAAGCGAGAGTTCCCATTACGGTGGTTCATATGGTGCTTTCTTTGGTTTTTGGGGGACACGTGCAAGAGAGTACAGTTCTCACCGCCGGGAGTACCAAGAAACATACCATCGACATTATGGAACATGGGGACACGGAACGCGAACCTGGGAAGTTCCTCCTAGCTTCTGTGAAACGAATCCTCAACCAGGACAGGCGAGGCGCTGGTTTAGACAAGCTGAAGCTGACCTCAACGCCGTTGTGAACGACGTTCATACTGGTAATGCTTCTTACGAATGGGCCTGCTTTAAGTGCCATCAGGTATGAATTGAAGTATTTACTATTGGGCGTACAGGTGATTTTATTAGCAATAAAAGTCTATTTCTTTCATGTTTCCCCTTTCAAAGTTAGCGTGCAAAGCTGATTGTTATGTGTTTACAGGCCGCAGAAAAAGCGCTGAAGGCTGCACAGTACGCGACAGATGCCTTTAAGACCAACGTTCATAACCTCGTCCAGAACTCCTTGATGCTAGACGACTCTCGACTGGTAACTCTTTCAAGTCAGCTCGAGGGATGTGTAGGTGATTCAACGCGCATGCGCTACCCTGATCGACTGGACTATCCAAAAATTCCAAAAGATGTTTACACAGAAGAAGACGCCCATCAGGCATTGGAGGCAGCGACGGAGATTCTACAAATTGTTAGGAGCAGACTGTCGTAAGGTAGTCGTCAGTTAACCAAGCTAATGTTTGAAGTAATCATTGAGCTGCTGAAAATTAACAGATATCACATTCTGTGAAAACGTTACATATGAGCTAGTTTAGTAGGATAAGCTTTTTAGCTGTTGTTCCTAAACGGAGTAGGGACTTCCAAGACTTAAACATCTGTTGAATGACTCTCACAATCCACCAGCTATATCATGGACACTGATTTGCGCATAAGAAAATAAATCCTCTTTGTTTGTTTTACATCAGGATTGATTTCGTCCAACATCGTCCTCACAATGGAGACGATCACCAGGGGCACGCTTTTCAAGATGCGTTACAGGCGTCTTGCAGGAAAAGAGCCATAACAAGATGTCAATCTATACGCTTTTCACGTAAACATTTTAGTAACAGCTAAGGTTAATTAGACATTAGATGGGAGATGTTACGCATTGGTCCTTGGAGCAATATCTTGCGTATAGTGATTAGTTGATGTCATGACGATGGGACACTGAAAATAGCCACTAACCTTTCATTGCGTATAACCCAAATGAAGCTGTTTTCACACTCCTTTTATCCCGAGAAGGGTTTATTTGTAGTTTATTGTAGAAGATAGGGGATTGTTTAACGATTCTTATTGTACTTAAATTAACAACAGTATTCTTTAGTTATTTTCGTTCAGGTTTTAGTGACTTGTAATTAATAAACGTGTTGCCAAGTTAGCTAGCAAATAAAATACACTAGAACCGTTATTGCATTGTTTTGAATGTTGCCAAAAAAAGAATTTCAAAGAAAAATAGTTAGAGGCAACTCCATTAATATGTGCAAAAGAGCTCTTTTGAATACCTTTGTTTTTTGTTTGAGATTTCGTTCAGTCTAAGGCTGCGTGCAAACGGACGCAACAACTCCCAACATTGTTACGCCAACAATGTTGGGAGTTGTTGCGTGCGTGTTGGCAGTGGTGTTCAAACGGATGCAACAACTCCCAACAATGTTGGGACCTGCAGTGCATCGTGGAAAGGATACAACCCATAAGTCTTTGTAAAACATGCGTAATGAGTGTGTGTGGCCCCAACAATGTTGGAAGAGCTGTGCAAACGGGTCCAACATTGTTGCGCTGCGCTTCGGCGATCACGGAACAAAAGAAATGTTGGGAGTTGTTGGCTGAAACGTTTGACCGGTTTCAAACTTTGCGCAACAACACGCAACAACATCCAACAACATTCAACAGGGTGTGCAAACGGACGCAACATGTAACATCCAACAACGTTGGGAGTTGTTGACCAACAATGTTGCGTCCGTTTGCACGGAGCTTAATAATGTAGCTTCTACTGAAAGCAGTTGATGTAAAGTTGCGTTAAAGTATAATCAGGAGACTTCAAAAGACTTTTCTCGACCCCATCGGTACCTTTCAAATCTACCTCCGGTTGACAGCTACAAGAGTAATTATCTAAGAAAGCAGACGAATTAGTTTTCTGTAATTTCCATCGTAAATCTGGACACTTGTGTTTAGGTATTGCGTTGTCTAACATCCTATTTACCGATGCACTCTTACCAAGCGAACAACATAAATCTATGTCACAGCTAAGTAAAATATCAAGCGGTGTATGTTCAGGAGTTACGTTTCAATAAAATTGCACAGTTGCTATTTTCCAGGTCAACAATATATTGCTTTTCCCCAGGGACAAAATAAAACCCTTTAACAACTTAAGCTTATGCCAATATCAAGTTGTGTAATGTTGCTATTTTCCAAGCTCCTTACACTTAAAAACTGTACGAGATAACCAACGACGTGTCCGCCATAGGCGGGTATTTGTAAAGCGTTTATTTTTTGGTAACAGCCAAACGCGAGGCAAATTGCTAACGCGCACAGCACCCAAGTACAAGACGAAATATTGGACTTGCTCATTCTACATAAATGACCTCTACTGAGATTTAAAAGTTTAAAATAGGTCTATTTGGCATTTTGTCAGTAATTGCTGTATAGGCGGCTATAAACAGGCTTAATACGGTGAAGAAGACTGAATCATTAAAATAATTACCTATTTCTAAAAACAAGCATTTTGACAAAATTCGAGAATAGCCGGGGAGCTACAAAAAAATGTTTTCCATTTTTGTTCAGGAAGGGCTATCGTCAAAACTGCTACAAAAAAGCAATAATTCAAACGAGAGCTCACGAGAAACTGTTCAAGATTCGTCTGATACACATACAACCTACGATAGGCACTCTTCTTCTCCTGTTTAACATCTCTATTCTTTCCGATTTGGACTAACAGAAGTATAATACGCCTAAAGGTATCCACGAAGGACGGAACATCAACCAGTAGGTAGAGAGCTTTACAAAACGACAACGACGGCACGGGAGCGTAAAATTGTGTCTTTTTCAAATATTTCTTTGACCTCCGCTGAACGACCACGACGTGAAATGTAACTTCTTAATTCTATGGTGAACACACTACTACGAATTTTCAATTTTTTTTTTAATTTGGATAGAGTCCAGAATCAATCAGCTCCAAGAAAATTGGTCAACGTTTAACTTATTGAGCAAGGCGAAATTTAAACGCGATAGAATTTAAGAAAAAAAATCATGTTAAGTGACGTTTCACTGCCATCGTCGTCATAGCTGCTTTAAGCTTCCTTCCGACTGGCCTTAAAGCCTTACATGTAGTTACACCTAAGGGACCGTTCACTCCTGGTACCCGAGCAGTAGTTGATGGTGACACCTCAAGTATCTGCTATGTAACTGTGTACAATATTTCATCCACTTCGCAATGTAAGACTATATGTTTAAATTATGAGCAAAGTAGGGAGTTATGGGACGGTATGAAAAGCAGCGGACTACCTCGGAACTAAAAGAAAACGTGTGCGTGGCGCCCATTTCAGTGCCTACGACCTTATACTCGGGAGTCCACACCCTGCCTTGCCCGAAATCTGGCTTGGGTACTTGAAAAAAGCGTGCGCTCACACCGGTTCCCGGGGGAGTACGTCTTAAGGGCACCAAGAGTGAACGCTGTCTTAGAATACGCAAGCATAACCTCAAGCGACCAAAGCAGCCACAGTAGCATACTATCTCTTCTAGACCATGTCACGTCCAGACGAATCAATTAAATTAAACGAAAACAAACTTACACCTTAAAGGCTGTCTACACGAGAATAATCATACTATTCACCTCTGCGTACGGGCCTGTGTGCGAACCTGTACTAATAATGATTGTTTCCATCATTCACATGTGAACAAAACGCGCAAGCTTGAATGCGTTTAAAAACTTTTAAATATCTGACTCGTGTGAACCGACTAATGGAGCAAGGGTGTTGCAGGTGTACGTGAGACCACTTGCCTTCTAACGAAGGCTCGAGTTTAATACCGATGGGTCTGTTGCTGTGACAATTCCAAATGACAATAGGCCCTTTTGCAGCTAGTCATACACGTGATGAAAACGGCCACGCTAAAGAGAAAGGGGCACACTAGGACAAGATGAAGAGAGAACTCAATTTATTTTAAAAAAATGGTCATTTCCTTTGTTTGTCTTGTCCCAGTGCATCCGTTTCCCTCCAGCATGGCGGTTTTGTATCACGTGAACAAGGAGCGTGAGCAAGAACGACAGCGACGGCTACGAAAACGTCACTTGAAAAGTGAAGTCGCGCTGCTTCAAACTTTATCTCGCTTAATCCACCTTGTTCAATTCGTCAAATGTTGGAAATTTTTTCTAGAGTTGAATTCTTAAAGACTGTGTATCAAAGTTCAGGAAAAGAAAAACAAAGTTGTCGTCTTGTGTTTACGTCCTCGACAAAACGTGAAATTATGCATTTTCACGTCCTAGACGTGCAGTGACGGCAAAGAAATGTAGGAAAAAGCGTGATGCACGTCTAATCTAAACCCAGGCCTATTGCTTTTTTGTCGTTTTCGTTGACGTCATCGTCGTCGTTGCTTAAGCTCCGTAATAACTAGCTACAGAAGGTTAATCAGTAGATCTCGCATATGGTTTAAGATGACGAGTCACTTCCTAAATGTGCTACTACAAAAGTTAATTAGTAGTCATTATTACATTATTAGCAATGGACATAGCCTTTATTTATGGCAACCTAACCCTACGTACAGTGTATCAGTGTTACTGTTTGCACCGTCGGGTGTATTCAAGGCTATGGTAGCGCACTCTCTAGAATCATGCAGAAGACATGTAAGTTCTCTGTATGCTGTCTAAAGATTCAAAATACTAAGACCATAAAATCTTTAAAAAGAGTTAAGAACCTTAGACTCCAGAAAAAAATAAAACGCTTTTTAAAATAACTTGTTCTTGTGGTAGATAATACACTTGCGTCACTTCATTAACACGCGCTTCCAAAAAAAGGGACTTCTATTTAGTTGCGTTGTGCGTTCTTGATTACCGCTTTATGTAAAAGGCGACTGCAGCCACGTCTTCATCGTTTCTTGGGCGCAGTCTTTATGCAGTTGTCAGACCTGCACAAGAAGGCATAACATACGCTCATGTCAATACATAAATGAAGTACACTTGTTGTCACTGCAGCTGTTCGACAGAATCCATGTGTACACGATGCGCTCTGGATTCGCGAAAGTCTGAGAATTGATTGAGATGTACGACAAAGTGTAGTAGATCTTAGAAAAGGATAATGAAATCAAAAATAACAATTGGTAGTTTATCTCTGCTGAGATAAACCCAACCCCCACCCCTTCCCCCCCACCCCCCTCAAAAAAAAATACAAAGCAAAAACTCTCATACTGGTATGTATAAAGACGAACCGTTCTTCAAAGCCCGTATCAAAGGTTTTGTTTTGAGGCAAAAATTCTAAAAAGCATACTTAATGATTTACCAAATGACCCCAGAACAAATAGAGGGAAAATTCGATTTTTTAAGGTGGACATTCATAATTTTTTCTGAAGTCATTGAGTCCACCTGAACTGCTTGTGAATAAGTTAGTTACACTACTTACCATACTTCTTTCTGATCTCATCACGCTTTTCGCGTCTTTCTTTTTCGCTGTAATAGACAGGAGGAAATCACTAAATGAGCCGCGAGTATCACTAAATGAACTGAGCATCTGGGGTAATTAAAGAGTTTAAAATGCATTCACATCCTCGGTAAAAAAAAAAAAAAGAGTGATTCTTTAAGTCATTAAACGGCGGTCGATCCTGACACAACTGTTTGACCTTTTGTTCTATCTTGGAATTTAAAATAATAACTCGTTTATTTATTCTAGTGTAAAAAGATATAAAGAGGATTAAACATAATTTTAAAACATTCTTTAGTTTACATCTGTTGATATAACTAAAAGGTATTATATAAACGATTAGTGCTGTTTTCTCGTGCCAAGTCGCTCGCGGTCGCTTGGTTAATAAAAGAAGTCCTTTCCAGTACCTCCCTCTAGCGCGCTTGCGGAGGGCAGCGATGTGCTTCTAAGTCCTGTTTCCTATGTATTTTTCCCTATTAACTCCTTCTAATCGAATTCATCGCCAAGTGGTGAATTTACTTGAATGGACCAATAATTAACTACTGGAATAAATTTTAGGATGAAAGTTTTTATCGAAGGCCACGGCGACGGCAATGAGAACGTTAAAAAGTAATAGCAATATAGAAGTTGATAAGAAACAGCAACAAAAACAACAACAACCTCTGCACACACATAAAACATTTTGGCCGTGGCCGTGAATGGCAAGAGCTTAGAACGAGCAATTCCCTACTTCAAAGACTCTGACGGGAATGCGTACAAGCTTTGAGAGCAGTGATTTTTTTTTATCATTTGGGTGGGCAAAAGTCTGTTATGATTGGTCGTTGATATTTGTGGTCGTCACCATTAACCAATCATAAGTAACCGTTGTCCACCCAAACTATCCCAGAAATCGTTTCTCAAAAAGCTTTTACAAATTTCTCCTATTGTTTCTGGAGTGGGGAATTGGGAGATCCCAATCGAGTTCGAGTGTCGCTGGCTGGATTCGTTTCCCGGTGGTCTCGAGTTTACTTTCTCGACCATACAGTGAAAAATAACCACCTAGCTTATCTCCTGCCAGTTGGGTTTTGTAATAATGTTATAAACTGGATTACTGTTTGAAACTATTTGACTAAAATGCCTGTACAGCAGTTAAGTGCAATTCCACACATTTACATTTTTAATCTATCATATTCTAATTAATGTTATTAGCATTTTTTTCAGCATACGCATACCGTTCTTTATGTCTTTCCTTCAATACCTTTCGCTGCTTTCGTAACTTAGCATCTTCCTTTTCATCTTTACTGAATTGAAACAAATATTTCATGAGATCGTATTTTTCACATTAACAAATAATGTAAGTGGAAAACTTCAGCACACTGATGTAGAGGGGAGCAAGAGGGGAGGGGTGGGGGTTCTCATCACGAGTGCACGAACAGGAATTTTGCGTTTCACGAGTCACAAAACAAATATTTACGTTTTCACGTTTCTTAAAAACAGAGGTTACAAAATGTCAAATGTAACGTTAGCCCCAATTTGTAAAACAGAGTGCTTCGCTTATATTTATTTCAGAAAGAAAACACTGTGCTGCTATAAATTCCCTAGGGAAGCCAGCTCTAGGTGGGTCTGATCGCACTGACGTGTGAATTTACATCAAAAGACTCGAAAGTGAAGTTAAAGCAAGCCACCAGATGCTAGTTAAGGCCGTTTGACCAAATTATATGATTTTTTTTATTCGATTGATCTTCAATGTCCAAGTCGAAACATTCGAGGATTTTGGCAGTTCAGGTATCACGGAGTGCACTTCAATCAGTGATTCACAGAACAGGTTTCCATACATCTCGATTCACGGACCCCAAAAATGGTTGATCACGGCGTCAGGACAATAAGCTTGCCCCCCACCCCCCCTTGATTTAGGCCTGAGAGATCAAGGTGAGTATTGACAAGGTCGTTCAATGTGATTCATGAACAGATATACATGTAGCCAGGAATGTAATACATATACCCATACCAGGGCGATTTCCAGACCAAGTTATTTTTAGATCATTTTCCCAACAATTTTGACTAGTTAATAAGTCTTACAAATACGTCAACAAAAACCGGAGACAAGAAAATAGCTTTTCTGATGTTTTCAAACCATTTACTTTTTCTTTTTGTCATTATCGTACTGTGGATGCCCATGCATACGTAACGTGCCCGTATTTTCGCGGGAAAAAAAAAAAAACTAAAAAATGATGCTAAAATAAACTGGTCTGTCAAAACTCTTTTGCCTAAGCTAAGTATTTCGGGTTATGGGCTCCTGATGTACCTAAGCTAATTTTCGTCAGTGTTGAAATGAAGAGCCGGTTCGACTGGGCTAAAAGTTGAGAACAGTTTGCAGTTACGTACGACGCTGGCTCGAGAACATCTCATCTCCCTGCACTGAGAATTTGCCTAGCTTTGGGCTGTTAACAAGAAGTTAAAAAGCGGCGGACAGGCCTTCCCCTCGGGCGCTTCGTTTTTCGCATTTTGGTCGCGATCAAAGGCGAGCGGGAGCGAGTAACTATAAGTGGCCGACTCCCGCGTTTTCGCTTTCCCACCTTCCCTTGCGCGCAAATTTACAACGCCAGGGAGACGTCTGGAAGGAGGCAGTCGAGCTTTCTTAAAAAGGAAAGAAAAACAACAAATGATTTGGCCCTGAAAATGCTGCCACTTACCTACTATTTCTTTTTCTTCGACAGCAGCAACAGTAGACGAAGCAAATCAAAGCTACTAACACTACAAAACCAGTCACAGGAAGGGCAATAAGAAGAATTTTTCCTGTCACTGTAAATTTAAAGACAGCAGACGTAAATATTAAGGTTGTAGAGACCTTAAGATTGAGGTTTTTCGGCATTTCCCGCAAACCGCGAACGTCAAGTCACGTGACCAGGGCCTTGCCGTCAGGTTTGTGGTTTGAGGTTCACGTTTGTACGGCTAGACCACGCTCCAGAGGTGAGTGAATCTACCGCAAGGTCTTTTGCTCCCTAAAACATCACAATCCCAAGTTTGAGCAGAAATACGACCTTTTAGAACTCTTTTGCTTATTGACTATCGAATTATATTTCAAAAAACGTAACTTTGAAATGGATGAATGAAAACAAACATGGCAGCCGCGAGCTACCACCCGCGAATCTTAAGTCCCAAATATTAGCAGACGGGAAACGTGAAACCGTTAATCGCATACCGCAGTTTCTCGTTTGCAGGAAAATGACCTAATCTCGATCTTAAGGTCTCTTGTATCTCTTTTCTAACCCAATTCTAAACGGAAAACGAATGGGTGCAAAGGTTTCCCTTGATCTTGTTTCACTAGAACAAACAAAAATTTACGGTACCATTCGCCTGCTCACACTATCGACATGGAACATCCACGTCCGCAAATTCAGTCCCCATATTGTTCTGTATTCATTATTGAAAATATTTATAGACAGTATATGATTGGGGATCGTCGAACGGGTTTGAATATAGGTTGAGTGGAAAGCACTAGTGGAAACGCGACAACTGCAAATAAAACCAGGAAGATCAAACCCGCATATCTCAGGAGCAAGAAAAAAAACAAACGAAAAATGACTTATTAAGGCCAGACAAACCATAATGCTCAATGCCCCTTGTCTCCGTGAGGTTCCCACTAGCCTGAGTATAAGGCGTTTCTGGAGGAAAAGGGGAAAGATGGAAGCGAAAAAGGGAGAGAGCTGAAGTAGAGAAACGCCTGACACAGATGCTTTTACTGGAGCCTTCCACCCCGACACAGCATGATTCGATACCATCCAATCAAAATCACTTCTGGTCATTGGGTTGTCAGATTCACGTGTCAAAAAGCTCGCCTAAAATAAATCTCACCTTACCGTCTGGCCCCCGGGGGGAGACTCCGCATATGAAAGGGGTGGTGGGGATGCTCGTCGGAAATTTTGAATTAAACCCCTAAAGGAGACCCATCTGGGCGTGGCCCAAGATTTTCTTGACCCCTAAAAGAGACCATGTTAAAACACAGACAATATGTATTTTTTTATATTTTTTCACGTGCAACCCTAAACGAGACCTTCACGGCTAAATGTGATGGTGTTTTGCCCTGAACACCTTAGGTGAGACCAAAATCCGAAATTGCACCCCTAAGCGAGACGACAAGCATCACCACCCCTTTCATATGCGGAGTCCCTCCCCCGAGGTCTGGCCGAACTCCGGTGCTTGTGTTGCTACAACTGCGCCTATTTTCTGAAACCTCCAATGAGGAGTTTTCGAATAAATGTAATGGAAAACCTGCCGTTTTTGAGGAATTATAACATGTTTTAGGAATTGTGTTAGTGTAAGATCGCCAACGCTCTGTTTGTAATAAACGTGTGCCCGGAAAATTGTAACTTGCTTTTTCTTACAGACTTACATCAGTCGCTTGTCTGGCAGCTAAAAAGCTGATGTAGATCAGGCCGAGAATTCTTTTTTTTTCTTTAGGTTTTGTTGGTTATCCCTCGTATTCTCGGGTGACTGAAAGGAGCTGCAAGAATAAAAAGGATGGTGCGATGGTGAAACACCTATGCCCAGAAAATTATCAAGCAGCAGCAAACTCCATCACTTCACAGAGAGCTTGTGAAAGCTGTTACAAGTTCAGTTAAGAAAGAAGTGAGAGCCTATAGCAAAGGTCAATCCTGGTAGCGAAATATGATGGCGCCCGCTTGAGCTTAAGACATTTCAAAAGTGAGACCATTTTGGAAGAGGAAGCAAACGAATTCCAATCATGTTCGCTATCGTAACCGCCACAAGCAAAGCCAAGCTTTTTTAATGCCTTCGTGCTGTCGGCTATCTCAATACATGGCTACCTCGCTCTATTTTCACATACACTAACAATACCCTTTTAACGGCAGGATGTTGTTAATCAGAAATTTGATATCTGAAACACTGATATCGTCTTCTTTGTCCCGGTCTTGTGAAACCAATACTCGGACATAGTTTCGGCAGAAGCTGGTATATGAGGCTTTTCCATACTCCGAGTACATCTTTCGTTTAAATTACGAGGCCTTGAAAACACAATTCTTGCTCGGGTTTTATTTTTATTCCAGGAAAGAACTTGAGAGCGCCCTCTAGAGCCTTTTTGAATTCCTCTCTGCGTCTCTGTCCATAAAAGTACATCACATAACATGAAATCAAAACATCTATGAAAAATTTCAATGGCTTCTCCTTGCCCATCGCTCTGCTCGTATTTACTTGCGGTGATAGACTTGCCTACAAGTCGAGCTCAAATTTATTCACGAGCGCGAAGCGCGAGCGGTAGATTTTTTATACCGTTTTTTAGCGGTAAAAGCGAGCAACTACCGGAACCGGAAATGAGAAGCGAAGGACTTTGAGAAAGTCTATTGCGGTCGGTGACGTCAGGCAGTATTGTGTGTTGCCTAATCACTGCCAAATCCAGATTTTGGATGTGTCACACGAGCTGCTGAATGGTTTTGTGTCAGGCCTTCCTTTCTCTTCTCCCCCTCCCGCCTCCCCCATCTAAAATCTCCTCTCCCCTAGCCCCTTAAGAAGGCCTGATACTCAGGCTAGGTTCCCACACCCTCCTCTACTGCTAAACACTTCCCCCAAACCCTCTCCCTCTTCTACACTAAAGGTGCCACCGAGTTTCAAACTAAAATTAAAGATTATGAGGATATTTCAAATCACTCGACTCACCAACACACTGTTTATATTTCCATTCCTGATCCTCGCAAGCTTTGTTTAAAGTGTCCTCGACTAAATTAAATTCCATGCATGTTTTGTTCTTTTCACAATATGCACACTAAAAAAGAACTTGTATCAGAATACATTTTCAAAATCAGAATGCAGTTTCTTTCAAAACCTGTATAGAGTGAAGAGTTATCTCTGCAAATCACACACTAATGAGGTCCTATTTCCCATCTCCCATAATGCACCTTCTTTGCCCCGCCCAACATTTTGCATTATTTTCAATTTCTCTCAGGACTAATGTAGTACCCATAAGAAGAAACTAAAAACAAAGGCTATGCAAAACTTTGGGGGGCAAACAAGATGTATCTATTATCGGAGACGTGCAAATGGCAAAAACTTGTGCTTTGTGCATCATGACAGGTTTTAAAGACCTTGAAACAGACGCAAGGAAGAACTTGGTCGTTATGGCTTGTGCTTGGGGAGCTAATTACTGTAAGTAAGTGGGGTGGGGGGTGGGGGGTAGGGGGGCTCTATGATATCCCAGCAGAAGGTGGAGGAAGCTTCACTGTTTTGGCATAGATGGAGACAAAAAAATTATTTATCAGTGACTAAGAGATCCTTTGATCAAAGGGTTACAAGAATATTAAAAGTTTAAGTTATACACATGTAAGTTATTAAAAGTTAAGAGATAACAAGGGAACATCGATCAGTGCATGCAACAATATGGCAGTGTGGTTTTTTAACAGAGGTCCAGACACATGAGTGCCCATGATTCTAGTAGCCTGTCAAGCACAACCTCCGATAACAACATCGGCATTAAATAAAAAACTAAAAAATTAACACAGTGCAATTAATCTCACTGACTATGGTGAAGATCATTATAAGAGAAGTGAAGTCTTTTCACCAATGTTGTTGTTGTTGTTGTTATTTTTTTGTTTCCCACGTGTGACTGTCTAAATGCTAAAGGTGAAGAGAACTTACCCCAGGCTGCTCAACACAATTCTTGCATGACCCTCCACTGTATATGGTACATTTGTCTATCAAAAAATTCAAAAACAAAAAGAATAATTCAGCAAAAACTAACAAAATTAGTGTTATTTAACACCAGTCACATGTTTGCCTTTTGATACCACCAACAAACCACAACAAACACTTTTCCATTCCATGTACCCATTCTTTCATATGAATTACTGATCTTGAAAGATGTTACAAGGTCTGCATAGTTCTTTATTTCATATGAGAGCGGTCAAATAATGATTGCTTAATCATTCATGCATTCTTATTTCTATTTTGCAGGTGTTCTTACACAATGACACCTTACTTCTTGTAGACTATATCTTCAATACATTTGCCTGGTTCTGGTTTAAGCATTTGAACAGAGGTAATTCTTTTATTCTTTCAGATACTCCTAAAAAAAAAGACGCCTATCCAGAAATGTGTTTGGCATATTCCTGCATTTCTTCGGTTCATGCAGTTTTAGTCACTAGAGAAATTCAACTATTTCATTGCCTAAAGCAACTGGGTGAACTCTTTTAACATTAAATTGTTTTCGGGGGAGTTTACATGACACCGGTATCACTTTTGTGCCAGCTTGGTTCACTTCAGTTCCCTCTCATGGCTCTACATTTGTTTACATGATACCACCACAAAATGTCATGCTGGCACGAGTCACTCCAGTCTGCATTCAACCCAGTTATGTTGTACTGGAGCAAGAATTTCATTCAGGGATGAAATATGTATGTAAATGCAAAACATCCACCCATTTTGGTGTGAAATCAGTGTGCAGGTGGACTGGAATGGGTAGGGCATGCAAAATGATTACAATTTTGAATCACACATGTATTTTATCAACATGACGTGTATCTTCAAATAACTGAGATTAATGAAATGACCGATCATCATGGTAAACATGCTACAAAATCACAGTCATCCTCACGCCAGTGGGAGCTTTCTTGTGTAAACACTCCCTTAGTTCAGCTAGCCACTGCCAGATGAAATGAGGTTGCTTTTTTTGATTTGGGGGAAATCTACCATATGACTGTATTGGTTAATAATTATTATTATCATTCGAAGCAAATTTTTCTTTCTTTTCATTGGCCGAGAGCCCAACACGTGACCTGCAAATAACTGCCTACAAATAATGGTCTGCTAATGCGCAATGTCGTCTAACAGTGTTTGGCTGCAAATAATATTCTGCTCATGCGTAAAGGAAACCGTGCTTTTCTCCTTCTTGCGATCACTCTTGCATGAAAATGGCAGATCGCTTTGCTTCCCAAGGATATTCATTAAAAAAACAAACTCAGCGATCGAATGATAAAACAATGATTGCCTGTATCTTCCCCTCTCCTCCCACAGAGGCAGCTCCAGCTGCCATGGGTGTCACACTAAAAATAGCTTCTTTCTTCCAAATATGGTCAGCTGGAATTAGCCGGGGAATGGGAGCAGGAAACATTTTCAATGAATAATAATAAACATTTGTATACTAAATATATACACACTCAGTGATCTTGGTAATTCAAGCAATCTGATTGGTTAGCTATCTTGAACTATGACATTATATTCACCGTGCTAGGCGGTGAACATAAAGTAGAACAAAATTGCTGTCGTGAACTGGGTGTTTTACCAAAGTTTCATAGAAAAGCCTTTTTGAAAATACACTAATATCCAAGTGCTGATGACTTTGACGGCAAGGAAAGATTTCATGGTGTTTAAACAGCATGATTTATTGTGAAGTGGTTTACTGCAGCTGACTTTTTGTACGCTCGAAGCTGTGTTTACCACTACAGAGGAAAACGAGGTCGCTTTGTCACTGTTTTGTGATTTCGGGATTTTCTCGCAAGACCAATTTTGCCTGTAAATAGAAGTTTATTTATGGAGAAAAGAGGAAGGCAAATATTTTCAAAAATTGTACGTGCCAGCAAGTTAACAAGGCAAAGAACATAGGAGATAAACAATGCTCACCTAGATCGTAGCCGCTGTTAACAGCATTTGCAAGAACCGACAAAGAAAACTTTCTCATTCACGGTGAGCTGACAGAAACAAATAAAACTCTACTTTTGTTCTCAGAATTGGGTAGTAATTTAAATTTTCAGCATTTTCTTTCAAACCGTTGATGCTAAAGCTTACAAAACTCAATACATTTATTTGCCATGTTTGAAGATACGCTGTGGCTATATGGCCGGTAACTGGTCAAGGTGTTAAAAACACTAAATGACCAGCAGTCCTATATTCCATAAATTTCACAAAATCGAAAGATTGCAGCTAATCTAAACTATCATATGTCCATTAAGACAAGTCAAACGATCCTGAAATGCTTTATAGATCCCAAGTTTAGTGTTTGGTTTACGCTGGGCTCAGAAGAGGAAAACGTGTTTTGTGACACTTGAAACTTTTTTCAGCTTGACTGCCGGTCAAGGTTTTTACAAAAGGTTGTTACAAAACACGGTTTCGTCTTCTGAGCCCAGCGTAAACCAAACACTAGACGTGAGATCTATAAAGCATTTCATTGACTTGTCTTAATGGACATATGATAGTTTAGATTAGCTAAAGCTAAGTCTTTCAATTTTGTGAAATTTACAGAATATGGGACTGCCAGTCATTTAGTGTTTTTTACACCTTGACCGGTTACCGGCCATATAGCCACAGCGTTGAAGATACTGTAAAGATCTAACTTTTGTGCATCCACTGTTTACGGATTCGTGTTCACGCATGAATTCACCCGTCAATCAAACTAATCATTTTTTAATGGTTTCCTTTCAGATTCTGTTAAGATCACTTCGTGTGAATTAATACTAAAACAATTATTCACCTCAGGCTCAGTTAATGTTGTAATGTTCGTCTCGGGGATTATTCAACAATATTAACTTCGCCTTCGGCGAATAATTGTTAAATAATGATAATGGTGATGATAAAATGCAGTGAAACCCTGCCTTACGGCCACCTCATCATTACAGCCACTTTATTTGGCCGCCTGGCAAAAACTGCCATACATATTCTTGTAAAAAAAACCCTCGTTAATATGGCCAATTTTATTTGGCCCATTGGTGACAGTATTAACGGCATTCCACTGTAATAGTAATAATAATAATGATTGATAAATCAACCATTTGACAAGGCCGTGAAATTATGGTATGTAAAAATGAGATAAAACCTTAGGTATTGTGTGTTTGTGTTTGTCAAAACCTTAACCTTACCATTAGCTTCTGAAAAAACTATCGAGTTTTCCTTGTAATTCTTAGTGATTTACTTTTATTTAACATCGTTGGCTAACGAGTTAATAGTTATATCCAGAAAAACAGATTATCTGTGAACACTTGTGTGCGTTTCCCCTTCCCCAAAGTTGATTTGGGTATTACATGTACAGTCGTCCCAGTGCTCCAAAATACGCGTGGCTCAACATTGGGGAAGGAGAGGGGCACATTTTGAGTGAGAACAAAGGTATGAAGAGAGAATGTAAGAAATTTGAAGAAAATTCAAGAGAAACGGCTTCCGTGACGAGTATTGTACACTAATTGTAGATACGTTTGAATAACTTACCAGCAACTACACAACGATGCGATAGCTGTACAGAATACAGTGTTGTCAAGAAAGCAAGGATCGTTGAATACCTTGGGGAAAACATATTGTTCTAGGAGGAAAAACGACTGACGAGTCTCGAGACACTAAAGGAAGGCAAATAACTTTGCCAGACTGAGGAAATAAATATTGCAAGTGACGTCACGCGAGCCTGCGGTTCGTATCAAAAAAAACCTTGGAGTGAAATAATACGGATTAATGTTAGGGACTGTTTAAAAAAGATTTGAGAACAACAATAATTACAACATTGATGATAATTTCTATTGTTTCAAATTCATTACCGTGAAATTTTTATGTCTGCCCGTTATCGACCATGTGCGTGTTGCGTAACACTTTCATGAGTCACGTCCATGTAAATGGCATTGCGTGACGCTACAGGGATTCGAGAGCCGTAGGGTGAGGAAACGACAAAATCGGGAGATAACTGGGTTGATTTTTTTTGTTTTCAATTATATTGGATCGTTTTTAGTCATTTACGTTACGACATATGTTTATATATCAATTTTATGTTATTAAAGATTACTGAAAGGTACAAAACTGACAAGCTTCCTTCTATTACACACACCCCTCCCCCAAGACTGGAATTTTTTTAACTGATCCGATTTTCTCGGAAATCTAAAATTGGAAAAATCCAGAAAGTTTCCGGGAATCTTCTACATTCGCGGAAAGGCTCAGTTTGATCAGAGTGTGCATTAGACAATTTGCTGCATTCTTTGGTCGCAATACGAGAAGAGGGAATATCTTTCTCGGAAGGGAATTTAAATAGTAAAAGAAAGGTAAGGAAATCAAGCCATAATCTTGCAGGTGCTGAAGGACCCTGCCTCACGCGACGGCGTTCGCAGCCAGATCTCTTTGCTATGAAGGTTTCCTTGTTCTGACAGTTCTCCGGGGAAGTTTAAAATAAGTAGAAACATTGATGATGTCGATCACGTAATACTTCTTTAACAGAACGCGAGCTAACGCGATCGAACACTCATTTTAAGAATG